GATACTCCGGCATTGTGAGGACAATGCCTACGTATCTGGTTTAGCCTCTGGGTGCTTGATCTGGAAAGCTGTATTATGATCTTTATGCCTCTGACTTGCTGCTGACTTTTGGTTGTGACAGTAAGCGAACTATGTTAGCGCTATGACTGTTTACGACTGGATATTGGCTAGGAAGTCGAACAGAGTATTCTATTCTCCTTGGTAGTTTGGAACTATGAGAACACATCTCTATGTGAAAGACTGTTTTGGAGATGGAACATGAGGTTCCTATGTTGCTCTGTATTGCGAGAGGATTTTGTATAGGAATTTGACTGGAACATTTCGTTCTTAACTAGCCGTGTGACTAGTCTAGACGTTTGGTAGAGACTAGTAACACCGGCTAGCTGGTTACTTGCGTTTGAATGAGAACCAGTTTGATTTGAGAACTTTTGGAGATGTTTCTGATGTTTTTGTGACTAGGTGATTTGTATATCATAGCAGTTCGGAATTGTTTCAACAACCTTTAAGGGAAGGTTGTGTGTTGGAAACCTGGAATCGAGTTTCCCAGTTGAGACATCGGCTCAAGGGAGTGGTGTCGAATGTTCCGAAGCGAACTGAACTGCAGTATCACTTAGGGCATTGGAAACAGTAGCCACACTTGGACTTTGTTGCTTCCCTTTGGGTTTGTGGCCGTGTGCCTGCCCTGGATCTTGTTGACCTGTCCTGTTGTGTGGCGTCTGGAGAGAAAAGAGGGAGTCTGACGTGCACTTAGGAGTCGGGGTGGAACAAGTTCCTTTCTTTGACTTTGTAGGGAAGTAAGTAACTGCGGAGTTGCAAACACAGTAGGTGTTCACTTCTGGCGTAGTGATCTAACGAAAGCGTTGATTTGGGTACACGAGAGGTGTACTTGGGTTTACGTTTTTCACAGATAACATCGGCAGATTTCAATTGATGTGCATCATTATTTACAAGCAATTTTCCGCGAAAGCAACCGTGAAAGATATTACGAAACACTTTTCGCCGCGAAAGCCAAAACTGAGCGCGCGAAAGAAGCGCGAAAGCCTGAAGGACATCGCGTGATTTTTCACGCGAAAGGCCTCCCCAACCCCACCACCATCACCATCATCAGGATCATCGTCATCATCGTCATCGTCATCGTCATCGGTTTCGTCATCGTCATCGTCACTGGCATCGTTCTCGTCATCGTGATGATGATGATGATGATGATCATCATCATCATCATCATCATGAGCATCATCATCATCATCATCTCCTCATCCTGAAGATCCTCCTCCTCATCATCATCCCGATCATCTGCCGCATCCGCTTCATCATCATCATCATCATCATCATCATCATCATCATCACCATCATCATCATCATCAACATCATCATCACCATCATCATCATCATCATCATGAGCATCATCATCACCATCATCATCATCATCATCACCATCATCATCATCGTCATCATCATCATCATCGTCATCATCATCATCATCATCATCGTCATTGTCAGTGTCATTGTCTTCGCCATTGTCATCGTCACCGGCATTGTCATTTTCAGCCGTCATCGTAGTTGTCAGCGTCAGCGTCATTGTCATCGTCATCAACTTTGTTATCATCATCATCATCATCATCATCATCACCATCCTCATCATCATCGTCATCATCGGCATCAGGTTCGATCCCCCCTGGTCCCCCCCGAGCCTTCCCGAGAGGGAGATTTCCGGCTGGTAGAGGGTCAGCATCCTCACTTTCATCTTCATCCCATTGATGCCCGCAGCTGCTCAGCAACAAAAACAAGGTGTGGTGAACAAAGAGATTTGGATAGGCATCCTCTCTCATGAGATCTGGAAAACGCACAGCGTGAAATCTCGCCATGACACCAAAGGGTTTGAAGCGGAAACGCCACCGACATTTCCCTGCTGACACTGAAGATACGTCTTCCCTTCCTTCTTTCTCCTACCCCGCTAGCTTTCGTCATCCACCCCCGGCCTCAAGTTCTCCGTGGGTGATACCTTGAGTAGCAGTGTTGATTGCAAGTTGTGGAGGTTTAAGAGGACACAATCAAAGGCTTTTAAGGCGTGAAGCCGCTTGGACTCGAGAAGTTTTGCTCGACATGGCCCAAGTGTTGGCTAGATATTTCACCCTGCGTGATCAGACAACCAGAGCATTTACAGGCTGTTGTGCTCTCAAATGCCACATGTACAAAACGACCTGATCCCGATACAGTCGTCCTCATGGCTCAGTGGTATGGCGTCTCTCTTGACGCTGATACACTGCCGGTGGTGGCTCAATTCCCCGCTGGTCCGCGAGTAAGACTCAAGTTCACAGGACCGTGCCTCAGAGCATAAACGGCGGTCACAATGCGACCTAATCCCGATACCTTTGAGAGCCGAGCACAAACGTCGGCACCTGCTGCAAACATGCCTTCCTACTTACCCCCACCAAAGCTCAGCCATTTCCTTCCTGACAAACCGAGGTCCTGACAACGCCCCGATCAATGCGACGACTCCCGCAGTGGGCTGCTTGAGTAGGACCACAAGGATCCCAAACTTGCAAAATATCAGACGTAGAATCTGCAGAACTTGAATTGGAAGCGTTTCCCAGAGCTGACAAATAGTGTCGGTGTGCGTGTCGAAGCAAAAACTGGAGAGAATTTATGGAGAATGCATCGATGCCACACGATAGTCCCAGCAGAGGTGGTAAGGACACCTTCACCGAGGAATCGAAATCAAAGTCAGTGACCAGTGACTGAAGCACTTGCTGATTCAGCGACAAGGAAAATATGGAGTCAAGCTTTGAACCGCCAAACTTGGTCGGGCTGCATCATTGTTTGTGCGCTCAGAAGCCATGCAGTTGACATAGTGCGTGGCAAATCATACGCATCTGAGAAAAGTGGAGAAGAAGTAATTTCGGTGTTTCAACTCTTCGCCCATGCAACAAAGAAGCGCAAAAGAAAAAGATGTAAGAACACGAAAATGTATAGCAATGTGTTCCACATAGTACCTGAGTTAAATTTGATGAATGTACCTGAAAGTATGAAAGTACAATTATGGCATGTTGACGCAAGCCCATCATGTGCCCCACCCCACCCCGTGCGGACGTAGCACCCCACCCCATATTGACGTAGTATCAACATCTTGTGCCAGGTCGAATGAACGCGGCCGAAGGTACGTTAACAACCCCACCCCCCCCACCCAGTGACGTAACGTTAGATGTGCATGGGACGCAAGTTAACATGAACGTTAACATCCCCACCCCCACTCAATGACGTAACGTTAGATGTGCATGGGACGCAAGTTAACATGAACGTTAACATCCCCACCCCCCCCAGTGACGTAACGTTAGATGTGCATGGGACGCAAGTTCACATGAACGTTAACATCCCCCCCCCCACCCAGTGACGTAACGTTAGATGTGCATGGGACGCAAGTTAACATGAACGTTAACATCCCCACCCCTCCCCACCCAGTGACGTGAAATATGTGTGTTTTAAAAAACGGCCAAAACGCTGGCGCGGTTTTCCCCCCGCTGGCTAGTACTAGTACTAGTAGTAGTACTGCTACTGCTACTGCTAGTGCTACTGCTACTGCTACACTAGTACTACTAGTACTACTACTAGTACTACTACTAGTACTACTACTAGTACTACTACTAGTACTACTACTAGTACTACCACTACTACTACTAGTACTACTACTACTAGTACTACTACTACTAGTACTACTATTACTAGTACTACTACTACTAGTACTACTACTACTAGTACTACTACTACTAGTACTACAAGTACTACTACTACTAGTACTACTACTACTAGTACTACTACTAGTAGTACTACTACTAGTACTACTACTAGTAGTAGTAGAAGTAGTAGTAGAAGTAGTAGTACTAGTAGTAGTACTAGTAGTAGTAGTACTAGTAGTAGTAGTACTAGTAGTAGTAGTACTACTACTAGTACTAGTACTAGTACTAGTAACTAGTAGTAGTAGTAGTAGTAGAAGTAGTAGTACTAGTAGTAGTACTAGTAGTAGTACTAGTAGTAGTAGTACTAGTAGTAGTAGTACTACTACTAGTACTAGTACTAGTACTACTAGTACTACTACTACTAGTACTACTACTACTAGTACTACTACTAGTACTACTACTACTAGTAGTACTACTACTAGTACTACTACTACTAGTACTACTACTAGTACTGCTACTACTACTACTAGTACTACTACTACTAGTACTACTACTACTAGTACTACTACTACTAGTACTACTACTACTAGTACTACTGCTACTAGTACTACTACTACTAGTCTACTACTTCTACTACTACTAGTCTACTACTTCTACTACTAGTACTACTACTACTAGTACTACTACTAGTACTACTACTAGTACTACTACTAGTACTACCACTAGTACTACTACTACTACTACTAGTACTACTACTACTACTACTACTACTACTACTACTAGTACTACTACTAGTACTACTACTACTACTACTACTACTACTACTACTAACTACTACTACTAATTACTACGAGGACGACGACGACGACGACGACGACTACTACTACTATTGCTCCTCCTCCTCCTACCACTAATTCTGGTGCGACGAAGACAAGGGCGACGGGGACAACGACGATTACTAGTAGTAGCAGAAGCAGAAACAGAAGTAGAAGCAGAAACAAAAGCAAAAGTAGAAGTAGAAACAAAAGTAGAAGTAATAATAGTAGGAGCAAACGCGGTGCTGGTGGTGGCGGTGGTGGCAACAGTTTGTGAAGCTATCTGAAAGAATGCGAACTAATCGAGTGAAACTGCAGTGAACGTTGTGAACGTCCGAGAAACTGGTTGAAGTGATTTAGACCTGTCTGTGCATGTGCAACATGACATGTCAATTTAACATGTGAAACATGTTTCTTTTCTTGGTCATTTTTCACTGGCGGGGGTAGTTAGTGTACCATGGATATTCACGATGGTTTCTTCGGTTGCTCGTCCGATACTCCTGCCAGTGGCATGCCTGTCAACGTTGATGATGAGCCACAGGCAGATGGTGCTAGTGGCTCACTGGGAATCCTCCCAGGCGTCTCAGATGTTTACCTGGAGGTGGCGCAACCGGAAGGCCTCGGTTACTCAGCAGAGGCAACTTGTGAGGCCGATGATGAGGCGCTTGGAGATGATCTCAGAGGATACAGGAAGAGGTGGGCATGCAAAAGAAAGTTGACCGCAGAAACAGAATACAGCCCATCTGTGCTCCCAGATGCATTTCCTCCTGAACCTCCAAAAGCAGGGCTGGCAAAAGTTAGCTCCAGCAGTGACGATGCCGCAGCTTTTGTGAACTCCTTTATAGATCGTATGTCTCCCTCGCAAATAGTGATGCCTTGTGAGAATGATTTCATGGCGCCAATTTTTGGCAACGAAATTGCAAGTGCGAAGCTGTCCATGCCTGCACAGTGGAGTGACACGTTTGTGGACCCCTTGAAACATGCAATGCCTGAGGCAGTTCCACAGGCTGTTCAACCCGTGGAGTTCAGTATCATGAAGTGTGTCAGGAACCTTGCAGACATGGACTTCATACAATCACGGGAGAAGCAGATGAAACAAGCTTTGTTGAAATTGAAGTGCGTGTTGGAGATCGGCTGGGAGTTCAGTGGAGTTGGGAGGCTGTGCATTGATGCTACAGGGACACCACGCGCCGACATGGAGGAGACGCTGGTGTCCATCGTGGGGACTAGATCACCATCGACAGTCATCAAGCGATGCAACGCGGTGCTGGCCTTCCAGCGTTGGTTGATAACCTGGGTGGACGCTGTGGCCTTCCCCTTCTCGGAGCAGATGGTTTGGGACTACTTGGTCCACCTGCGCAATTGCGGAGCTGCAGCAACCAAGGCGTTGTCATTCATCCAGACGCTCAGGTTCTGCCAGTACGTACTGCAGGTTGATGGAGCTGATGAGTGTGTGGCTAGCAGACGACTTGTGGGGCAGTCGGAGATTCAGGCATCCCTGAAAGGCCCAACAAAACAGGCCAGGCCATTGACGGTGACTGAAGTTCGCAAGCTGCAGAGGTTCATGGCAGATCCGTCGAATGACCTGAAAGAGAGGTTGATCTGCAGCCATCTTGTGCTGATGGTATACACAAGGAGTCGCAACAGTGACCTGGCTCATGTTCACGACATCTCTCATGATAGCACGCTCAAAGATGGGCATGATGAGTTCAGCGGCTTCATACAGTTTACAACAAGGTATCACAAATCGGCACGGTCAGTTGAGACGAAGTCACTGCTGATGCCCATCATCGCATGCGGTGAGTCTGTCGGGCCTGAGCCTTGGCTGGACATTTGGATGGCTCTCAGGAAGAAAGCCGGGTTGGCCACTTCTGGCCTTTTAGAAGGTGCCGTGATGCCCACACCAGATGTCAGGTCAGCTGGAACGTGGGCAGTACGACCCATCTCTTGCGCAGAGACTACAAAGTTGCTGCGCGCTTTTCTGCAGTGCGATGACCCGGACTTGAAGTCGCACTCATTGAAGAGGACAGCCTTAAGCTGGGCAGCAAAAGCAGGCTTGGACAGGGAGCACCGACGCCTCCTGGGGCGGCATGCAAGTGCGGTGCAAGGCTCAGATAGCATCTATGCTACCGACCTCATGGTGGACCCCGTCAGAGCCCTTGGCGCTGTGGTGAAGCTCATCAGGGAGGATCGGTTTATGCCTGATGGGGACAGAGCGAATTTCTTCCCAGAAGGGAACCCGGCCAAGCCTGATGCGCCGGTCTTCCAGCCCAGGACGCCAGGCAACTTCAAGATGCCAATGACGCCAGCAGTGGCGCCGCATGATGCACTGGAGCGGGAACTGCCTTGCCAAGAGGTCAAGGAAGAGGCGGTTGCACCCGATGGAGCTCCATGCATAACAGAAGAGATCGACCTCGTCACTACGGAGTCTGAGACCTCTACAAGTGGAGAGGAATTCGCGACATCAGAGCCTGAGGCTGAGGGCGAGCTAGAGCCGTCAGACGCCAACGTCCTAAATGAGGATGCAGATGACGCCTGGGTTCAGCACAAGAAGACCAAGGTCATCCACGCCATCGCTGGTGCAGGGAGCCTGGTGTCAGGATCGGTCTACGCCAATGGCGAGCTTGTGCAGAACAGAGCAACCAAGTGTGGGCGGCTGGCAGGTGCCAACTTCGCGGTGGTCACCACCATTGAGGACTGGACCTCGAAGTGCCGGCTCTGCTTCAAGGGCAAAAGGGACCCTTGGGCTAATTTTCGATGACCCTGTTGTGCTGCAGGAGAAAAAGCTCATGGCTTGCACCACCATTGACAAGTGTCATTTCAGCATCATCACATGTGCAACTGTCCACTCATGTCCGTTGGTTTTTCTCAGTGATGGTGCCCAACATGTGTTGGCACGTCCCATGTGGGACAACCACCTATGTTGGTGGTATTAGCACCTATGTTGGTGCAGGCCATTCCATGTGGGATGGCCCAGCTATGCATGTGCATAGCAGACGGCATGTGCCGGCAGTGCCATGTGGCACTAATCAAGACCAAGTGGTCATGATCCATGTGGTGTGGTGCAGCCTTTTTGTGGCCCTTACGTTCAGCATGTGCTTGAACATGCAAGCTGTCAGTGTGTATCAAATCTACATGTAGTTGCAGTTGTACACCTATTTTAATTTGCACTTGATTGCAACAGTATGTGCTGTTGAACATTGTTCCTTCTTTCAGTTTCAGCTACTGTGCGACTTGCATGGGTTGAATTGCATCAGGTCGGAGAACGGCATGTTTATTTTTGTTTTTGCACTGACTTTGAATCTTTCGTTTGCCGGCGAACTGCAGCCATGACCTCTATAGTAGAGTCTGAAGCTCACTTCAGGAAGAGATGCCAGGAAACAGGTCTGTCTGACCGTGGGCTGGCTGCAGTGATTGCAGCAGGGTACACAAATCTGGGCCAGCTAGCATTTGCCAGCGGCCAACCTGGGCAACCTCTCAACGAGGCTGAGTTCCAGCGGTTTGCCCAAAATGTCTTGGGTGGACTAGCTACTTTGGCCGACACCAGCACTCTGAAGCGTTTGGTTTTCGAAGGGCAGACTGTCTTACTGGCCCAGCTGAGAGATCAGGTTGTGAACCCGGACGCTGCCACCACCAGAAAACTCCCTGCAATCGAGCGCAGCACCAAGATGCAGAACTTGAAAGCGCGCCTGGTGGGTGTGGTCATAGAGAAGGCGCTGGAGCCAAGCTATGCGCTGTTGGATGCGGTGGCACAGCAATGGGAGGCCAAGCAACTGGCCTACTTGTCCCCGGAGAAATGCACCTCCCGAGAATGGGAGATCACTATGTCGAAGACCTCAAAGCAGTTGTCAATTGACACTGACAAGCTGCTTGTCAAGAGCGAACAGTCAGTGCCAGACCAGCAGGTGTCAACAGAGATGCAGGTCTATGAAGCCCTACGACGCCGTGGTATAGCACTGGCATTCACGGACTCACTGACGTGGGAGGTGCATGAGCGGTACTTGCAGCGTTTGTTCCAACACATGAGGAACGAGGCCCCTGAAGGGTATAGCAAGACAACGTTGCAACAGGTCCTCCGTGCCGACAGAGATGTTTTTCTGCACATGGTCCAGAGAGATGTATCGATGCGGAGGGCTCCGGACAACACCTTGCCTATGGACACCGCCATCTTGGAAGCAGTGTCGTCGTATGAGGTTGGCTTCAGCTTGATGCCGCTGCCGAAGAAGATCGAAAGGTCTGAGCCCAAAGCATCAGCAGCAGCACCGTCTTATGGAAACTGGCCGCAGGGCCGCAGGAACCCGCAGCAGCCTTACTCAAAGGGGCAAGGCAAAGCTGGAAAGGGAAAAGGTAAGACAAAGAAGGCAGCAGCAATGGTGCCCAAGGAGCTGCAAGGAAGAGACAACGTATCTCTTGATGCTCATGGCCGGAGGCTTTGCTTTGAGTTCAACTTGGGCCGTTGCTCCCGGGTCCCGAATGGTGGCGAATGTGAAAGGGGCTTCCACCTTTGCATGCGACGTGGATGTCATGCACCTCATCCTGAATCTGAACACCCGAAGGAGAAGGGGTCCGCGAAGCCCAATTGACTATACAAACGCATCAACGATGCGGCAGCTGCTGGGGCCTCCTTGGCCGATTGTTTGGTCATCGAGATCTTTGCAGGAAGCTGCCGGGTTACAGCAAGCCTACGCCAGTTGGGTTTAGGCAGCAGTTTTGGTGTAGATCACCAAAGAGGTAAAAACGCCTCAGGGCCTGTGATCGTTGCAGACCTGTGCACGCCTGAAGGGGTTGCACTACTCTGGTCGTGGCTGCAGAATGAACGAGTTCTAGCAGTCTTTTTGGCGCCGCCATGTGGATCAGCCTCAAGAGCGAGACAGATACCGCTGAAGCGAAAACGTTTTGGTCATCCTGAAAGGGGACGTCATGGACCACGACCTTTGCGGGATGATGAACACCCCAATGGGCTCCCTAACCTCTCTGATACAGATAATCGTAGGGTCTCATTGGCAAATCAACTTTATTTTCTTACGGCACAGATTGTGGAATGGGCCGTTGAAAACGGAGTCATTGTATGTGTGGAAAATCCGCAGTTCAGTTTCTTTTGGACCACAACCTTTTGGCAACAAGTTGCACATCTTTTACAATATTCTGTATTTCATTCATGTCAGTATGGAAGTGCGCGACAAAAGAAGACTATGTTGGCTTTCAATGTCAGTGAATTTCATGCGATAAATGCCACCTGCAAAGGACAGAACAGCAAGCATAAGCATGCGCAATGGGGTTTTAACCGCAAGACAAAGTCTTTTGCGACAGCTGAAGAAACTGCATACCCAATGGGGTTGGCGAAGATGATTGCAATGGTCATTGTGCGTTGTCTGTTAAACCTTGGCATCAAAGGCAATCCAGAAACGTTGGAAGCTGTGCAGCCTGTGGCACTCCAGGCGTTGCAGAAGATGCGGGCTGCGACCGGCACACAATCAAGGTCTAGCCGGATTCCTGCCTTGGTGCCTACATACAAGTTGAGGTTTCGGATTGGCGGCCACTCAGACGCGCTGCCTGACATTAATATTTTTCAAAGAGTGCGCAAGGATGTTACAATCTCCTCCTCACCAACACAGATCCTTCCAAAAGGCTCCAAACTTTTGGCACTTGCTCCGGTGGACAACCTGGTCACGGGGGATGAGATGCCTGCCCAACCGGAGATTTTCAAAGTAGGCACCCCTACCCTGGATTCGTCGTGCGTGATTCAGACATGGGGGGTGCCTTGGGAACCTGAACAATTTGTGCAGGAGGTGGTCAAAGCCGGCCATCCAATGGACATGGCGACATTCCTTCCACCAAGGTTGCAGTCCCTACTGACTAACTATGAGACAATGAGCAGCTGCGACAGGGTGGACAGCAGACTTACGGCAGTGAAGTTTTGGCTGAAGAGGGCAATGGAGCTTAAAGGTGATGAAAGTGAATTTCATAGCAACCTGGATCCAGCAGTGGCTAGTGTCCTGCGTGGAAAGCGCATTCTCTTGTGGAAACAGATGCTTGAATCAATTGAATATGAGGACATGGATGTCGTGAACGAGTTTGTGAGTGGAACAAAATTGGTGGGTGAGGCTCAATCGACAGGTTTGTGGCCGAAGAAGTTCAAGCCTGCCTCACTCACCGAAAGCGACCTGTCCCACATCGCGATGTCGCAGCGATCAGTCTTGAATTACAAATCTTTTGAATTTATGGATGATGAAACATTGAACGCCGTCTGGAGTCAAACGTTGGACGAGGTTGAGGCCGGAGAGCTATCTGGCCCGTATGAGGTTGAACAGGTACCTCAGGAAATCCTTTGAGCAGGCGATTTGGCATCAAGCAATCATCAAAGGTGAGATGTGTGGATGATTTCACCCAATCCTCCATCAATGCTTGCGCTCAGACATGTGAATCGCCGAAGCCACATACGTTGGGACTCCTCCCAAGGGGAGGATACAAACCTTATTCCAAAAAGCAAAAATTTTGGTGAAACCAAAATTAGCTACGTGTGTTTCCAACAACTCGGTTGTATTGACAACGCGGGTTTGTTTCTTTTGTTAATGTTTTGAGTTGTGAAACAAACAGACCAAAACAAATCTGAATCAATCTGTCAACTGACACATGCTGATTCAACGTTTCCCGATATATTTTGGTTTAAGGGAGGGCGTGGTGGGAGATGCTTTGCTTGTTTGACTTAGCAAGAGCAGGGGGGTCGAATAGATGGCCTATGATGTACCTGAAGAACTTCGAGATGAAGGATTTCAGGTGTTGGAAGCTCAAGCTGCTGTTTTAGAGGCACAGGCAGCAGCTGAAAACCTGGCTCTTGAGTTGGAACATTCTGAAAGCATGCAACGTGAAACCGAGATTGCAAGTGACATGCATGGACCTTTAGCTGAACAGTTCACTGCGGTACCTGGTTTTTCACATGATGGTCATGATTTCTTCGGCATGTCTTTTGATGACATTGATGCGCGATCGAGCAGTTCCCGCGGTGCAGATGCGGCTGTTACGGTTACTCCAGGGTATTCAGCTGAGAACACGTTTGGTTTTGCTCGTGTTGCACTTCAACCTGAAGGTGTTAAACATTTTTGGGAGACTGGTTTTTGGAATGACTTCATGAACCCGGATGTCAGTTTTCTCAGTTCCTTTGATGGCAACTTCAAACGGCCGTTTGACAACACCTTTGATGGAGCATCAGAAGAGGTAGCTGAGGTCGCTGAACGAAAACCCAAAACGTTGAAACAAGGGGCAACCTTCATGGATCATGTTCGTGATGTACCAGTCGCTAGTTGGAAAGATCAACGTGATGCAGAGTGGCAAGTAGCTATATTCAGGTGGCATGCAATGTTGTCTGTTTGGGACCCCAAAGTTACAGTGGTTGGACAGATGATGGCACTGGATGGATTTGGAGCACAAGCGCAGCTGCTCGTTGATATTTTCTGCAACAGGGCTCCTGCAACAGTCATGAAGCGATGCCGCAGCATGTCTCGCATGACAAACTACTTCATTGCACGGGGCCGCAGTTTTCCTTGTGATGAGTCTCAGGTCTACGAGTTCATGTGTGTTGAACGCAGTGCTGGAGCACCGTGCAGCAGATTGAAAGGGTTCATAGAGGCACTGACTTTCTGTAGGCATGTTCTTGGAGTTACAGAGTTTGACAGTGCTACAACAAGCCGACGTTGTCAAGGTGTGGCGTCCTTAGATGTGCATCATAAACTGAAGCAGTCTGAACCCTTGTCAGTTAAACAGTTGGTCATGTTGCACGGTGTCCTTTTTGAAGATGACGAGATTTGGAACAGAGTTTTTGCTGGTATGTTGCTCTTCTGCGTGTACGCACGCTCCAGATGGTCCGACGCTCAGCATGGTGAGAAACTACTGGAGGACCTGGACAGCAGTGGGGCATGTGCATACATAGAAGTATCAACTGGAGTTCACAAGACAGCAAAAGCGTTGCAGCTGCGTCACATGTACCTTCCGTTGGTAGCACCATGTGAGGGAGTTACAAGTGGAAACTGGGGCACAGAATGGTGCCGAGTGCGCAAAGAACTTGGCATACATGATTTGTCAGTTTACCCTTTGATGCCTGCTCCAAACTCTCAGAGGGAAGCTACTGTGCGGCCCTTATCAACTTCAGAGGCGGGCAGTTGGATGCGTGATTTATTGAAAATTGACAATGCAGACAAAAGCCAAAGGTTTTCTTCACACTCACTGAAAGCAACGTGCCTCAGCTATGCAGCCAAACGAGGGCTGCCTTTGGAGGACCGCCTCAGCTTGGGTTACCATACACATAGTTTGAAAATGGCCTTAGTATACTCAAGAGATGGTGCTTCGAGACCATTGAGAGTTCTTGAGACTCTTTTGAGGGAGATTCGTTTAAAACGATTTGACCCCAACGATACTCGCAGTGGCCGGCTCAGTCAACTTCAAAAACTTGAAGCTGATGAAAAGTCAGAAACGTTTGACGATGTTGGCAAGAGTTTTGAAATTGTTTCACAAGTGAGTTCAGAGAATTTTCTTCCGGTGTCGGAGGCAGGTGATGCAGGTGAAAATGTCGATGATAGCGACCATGCCACCACAGGCTCCGAAAGTGAGTCGGATGTGGAAACGACAGTCCTGCCGCGAGTGTCCTACAAGGACATCAAGGCGCCGGAAGGTACAAGATTGCATCAGCATTTAAAGCTGAAGACTCTACATTTGATGAAGACCGAAAACCGAGTGGTTTTTCTTTGTGGCAGAAAAACCAGCCATTTGTATGGAGTTGCAGAGGGACGTCAGCCGTTTGACACTCCCAAGTGCAGACAATGTTTTCGTGCGAAGCTTGACTGACCGAGCTGAGGGCTGAAAACTTTAGCAGCGGTTTTTGTCATGTGTGTCATGTTGAAATTTTCCTGTAACAAGATGACATTTCGAATCGTGTGAACATGTGAGTCACGTGACGCATGTGCATGCAGTGGATCACATACTTGTATTTCAAGTCATTGCTTGAGGTTGCAAAACGAGGGACTCAGGATTGTCAGATGTCACTTAGCGGTGATCGGCAGTGAGAGGCTCACAGACAACATGTGTTAGGACTGCTTGTCACATTGTTTGCAACTTTGCAATGTTATTTTCCAGTTTCATTTTTGTTTCAGTTGTGCAGACATCCACAACCAAACGAACATTTCATGACTTGACACGACCATGCAGAAATTTCAGAGACTGTTGCATGGACGTTTGAGTGACCAATAGGGTCATAGGCAGTTCGGTCAGAACCGGCGCAATGGCACTGGTAGATTCCGAAGCTGCATTTGCAAGTCATTGTGATGCCATAGACAGGAGTCATGAGTTGCGCAATCTTTGCATCGCAGCAGAACTCACGACTTTCATGAGAATGGCTTTTGCTATTGGCACACCACAGGTGCCAGCAACTGATGAGGCTTTTAGAGCCTTTGCCACTGAGCTCAACGGTGGGGTTGAGCCATCGCTGACACTGATGTCACTACTGAGAAGGCTGCATTTTGAGGCAGTCACTATGGTGGTGGCGCATCTGAAGACAAACGTAGTGACAGATGCGAGTACAGAAGGAGGCAGGAAACTACCGCCAGTTGAAAAGGTAGCCAGGTTGAATGACCAACAAGCACGGCTACGGGGCGTCAACATCAAGGGTGAACTGCAGCCATCGTATGCGTTAGTTGACATCATAGCTGGAATTTTCGACAGTGGGTCGATCATATGGGTGCCGCCGAGTAAGTGCACGAAGAGGGATGCCGAGGTTCAACAGACCTTGAAGGAAAAGCCAACGACATTGACGTTGGAACAACAAACATTGAAGCTTAGCACCGCCGACCCGAAGTTGAAGGCGGACACATCAAATGAACTTTTGATGCAATGGGCATTGCAGAGGAGGGGTTTGGCTTTTGATCAGTGCAAATTAATTTCAAATGACATCCATGAACGTTGGGTGAACATGCTGCTCATGCAACTGACCAGGGAAGCCCCAAGTGGATATGCCAAAGTCAACATGGAGCAGATCTTGCGTGCAGACAGAGAAATGTTTACAGTAATGGCCCAGGAGCACAGCGGACCCTTTCTGAATGGACCAAAGGGTGAGCTGCCACTGGACCTTTTGATGACAAGGCTTACCACTGACCCCAGGATCAGCACGCACCTTCTGCCTTTGCCCCATGCAGCTGGGAGAACGGCAGCGGCATCGTCAGTTGATGAGGGTGCAACCAGGCCTGCACCTACACGAAATTTGCAGCCAAAGAAAAAGGCCAAAGCGTCGTCCAAGGCCAAGGCAAATTGCCCTGATGAACTGAAAGGGTACAAACAATTCGATGATAACAACACACCCATCTGTTGGGCATTTAACATGAGCAAGGGATGCCAAGAAGAGACAAAGAATGGCCGCTGTAAAAAGGGCATGCATGTGTGCATCAAGTGCAAGCGCAGCAATCACAGCTTGGTGACGTGCCGCGTTAAAAACGCCTGACTAAAGGTTCACAAACAAGTGCAACGAGTTTCACACCGTGCAGTCAATGGCAAACGCAAACAAGTTTCGTTGGGTGCGGGTACAACAGTTTTTGCCGAAAGTTCTCAGTCAAGTGATGAAGTCATTGACAACGGAGATCAAGCTCAAGACGAGCCGAAAGATGCCGAACCAAGCGGCAAACAAGTTTCATCCGTCGAAGACGGCAGTGCCAACAACTTGCCCTTTAAGGGCAGAGATTTTTCTGGGAAGTCATTGGATAGCATCATGGTGATTGAAATTTTTGCTGGAACAGCGCGGCTAACACGTGCTGTACGTGACATTGGTTTGAGTGGTCTGGCAGTTGACAAAGACAGCAACCGTGCGCAAAATGTGCACATTGCAAATTACGACCTGAACGATCCAGCACAGTTTCAGGCACTATGTGAGTTGGTTCAAAAACACCATGATCAAATCCTATGGGTGCATTTTGCACCTGCATGCGGAACAGCCTCCCGAGCGAGGGGAAGGCCCTTGCCGAAATTGCAGAAGCTTGGAGTCAAAGTGCCACAGCCTCTTAGAAGCGATGAGCAGCCCATGGGACTAGATGGACTTGGAGGACTTGACAAAGTCAAAACAGAAACAGCAAACATCACATATGAGAACATGTGCTTGCTGGCCCGCATATGTCACAGTTTTTACATTGCGATTTCAATTGAAAATCCTGAAAACTCAATCTTTTGGAAGGTACCTGCAGTACTCAAATTGCTTTCTGAGATTGGTGGTTTCATGACAGTTTTTGACAATTGTTGCCATGGCGGGACGAGACGTAAAGGTACATCATGGTGGGCAAACGTTGATTGGTTCAGACAGCTTGCGATACGCTGCGACAACTCCCATTTTCATGAAAAATGGGCTGCTGACATAGTTGATGGCAAGGTCTGCTTTCCAACTCAACTAGAAGCAGCCTACCCAGTTCTCCTGTGCAGGCGGCTTGCATCAATAGCACGAGACAAAGCACTTGCTTTTGGAGCGATCGAAACATTCAATTTGGAGGAACAAACTGCGCAAACGCCATCAACTCAGCACCGCATTCTTTTAGACATGCTGCCTCGGGGTCGAAAGTTTCGACCCTTAGTTTCAGAATTTGGGCGCTATGAGAAATGGGCCATTTCTGCAAGCCATGGACCTGATGATGCAACAATTTTACAAAACTTCCCAAAGGGTGCCAAGATTGTACATCGACAGTTTCAAGGGGGGAATTTTCGAGTCGATGAGAATGCTGAAGTAAAAATGCATGAGTCGTGCATAGGTGAGTCACCTGCCATTGAGCTAATAACGGTGGGCGTGCCAAGAGATGCAACAGACTTTCTTGATAGAGCAGTCAAAGCAGGACATCCAAGGACAGTTGCAGTGCATTTGTCAGACATGGTCAAACATGTTTTGCGCATGAACTTTGGAGGGGACGATTATGGCCTAGCCAAAGAACGAGCTGCCTTTTTGTGGAAGTGGAGCAATAGAGCAAAAGAACTGGCGGAGGATGAGAAGCGTCTTCATAAATCACTGCAGCCCCATTTACAACATCTCTTACAAGGAAAGCGCCTCCTCCTTCTGAAGGAAGTATTGACGTCGCTGAACTATCCTGACAGTACTTTGGTTGACGAGATATCAGCGGGTTTTACTTTACATGGTTGGATGCAGGAGTCAAATGTTTTTCCAAAGGATCTCAAACGTCCTGAGTATTCACTTGACATGGTGAAGAACATGGCGAAGGGTCTAAACCAAATGATTTTTTCGCAGGTGAATGCTACTAGTAATGATGAACTTGCAAAGGCTACTTGGGACAGCACGGTGGATGAGATCGAAAAACAATGGGTGTGGAGAGATGTCACGAGCGACATTTCAGAGGTCATACTTGCCAAAAGGTTTGGTCTTCAGCAGAAAAACAAGATAAGGGTCATAGATGATTGTTCGCTGGGTGGCTACAACAAGACCTATGGCACCAAAGAAAAACTCCGAGTTCACGCTGTTGATCAAATTGCAGCATATCTCTCATGGATATGCACTGAACTTGGTGAGCAACTGGATGATGAATTGGTGGGACGCACATACGACTTGCGTAGTGCATACAAGCAGTTTGGTGTCAGTGCAGAGACCCGGAGTCAACTGCGTTTGTTGGTTTGGGACGTTGAGCAAAGCAAGCCAACACTGCTAGGCGTGAATGCCTTACCCTTTGGAGCAGCGGGGTCAGTCAGTGCTTTCCTGCGTATAAGCATGGCATTGTGGTTCATTGGAACCGTAGGGCTCAAACTTTGTTGGACGGTTTTCTATGATGACTATACAGGTATTTGCAAGAAGCGCATGAGCCATGGAACAGGCATAGCCGCCGAAGCACTGTTTGATCTCTTTGGTATGTGGTTTGCCAAAGAAGGTACAAAAGCAGTTGACTTCAGCAGCCAAGTCAAAACCTTGGGACTGGTGATACGGTTGGGCAATGCAACTGGTCCTTTCACCATAGGTCACACGACTGAACGCAGACAAGAACTTTGCGAAGCTCTGGAAGCCATTTTAGAAGCAAAGCGTATTGAGCCAAAGCAGGCAGAGAGGTTGCGTGGCAGGATGCAATGGTTTGAAGGGTATGCTTTTGGTCGCATTGCTCAGCACAGTCTTAAAGTCTTGGGTGAACTTTCCCTCCGACAACAAAGATTTGTCAACTTGAATGAAAATGAAATGTCAGCAATCAATTTTTTGCTTTCTAGAGTTAAGAGTGCGGAGGCCATTCGCATTACAACAACCTTGCTTGACAACTACTTGATATTCACGGACGGTGCATGCGAAGGTGACACTGAAAAGACAGGCAGTGTGGGTGGCGTTCTTGTGGGGCCGAACGGCCAAGTGTTGGAACATTTTTCCTCCAGAGTTCCGAGCAGCTATATGGATTCACTACTGGAAGCTTCAGACAATCCAATATATGAACTTGAACTTCTACCGGTACACATAGCCTTATCTTTGTGGAGCCACCGTCTCCAGTCGTCGCATGTGGTGATGTATCTTGATAATGATGCAGCAAGAGCTGCAATGTGCAAGGGATATGGGGCGACCGTTGCAGCACAACGTATCGTCCAAAAGGTCATGGAAACAGAGTGCTCTTGCGAATTGAAAACCTGGTTCGCTCGAGTCCCTACACACTCGAACATAGCAGACGGACCCAGCCGTTTGCAGTGTCACGAGATCGAGCTAATGGGATCCAAAGAACTTAAAGTGGACTGGAACGTTGTTCTAGAGGACTTATAGTTTGGTGTGCGTCTTCTAATGGGGAGAGCTCGGGCACACCTTGGATGGATCCCCATTTGCTCGTGGAAAAATAAATTGTCCGAGTGTTGTGCGTTTCCATTTTCAGTGATGCATTATTTTAAGTTTATTTTTCGCGCGAAATGCGTAGCGCAAAATTAAGCGACACGTGGCGGTTTGGGAAAGGAATAAGTTGGGACTCCTCCCAAGGGGAGGATACAAACCTTATTCCAAAAAGCAAAAATTTTGGTGAAACCAAAATTAGCTACGTGTGTTTCCAACAACTCGGTTGTATTGACAACGCGGGTTTGTTTCTTTTGTTAATGTTTTGAGTTGTGAAACAAACAGACCAAAACAAATCTGAATCAATCTGTCAACTGACACATGCTGATTCAACGTTTCCCGATATATTTTGGTTTAAGGGAGGGCGTGGTGGGAGATGCTTTGTTTGTTTGACTTAGCAAGACCCACCCAAAAACATTTTGATGTTTTTCTCCCCCCCTAATTTTTACTTGCCTAGCCCAAAGCCTAAGAGCTCGGGCACACCTTGGATGGATCCCCATTTGCTCGTGGAAAAATAAATTGTCCGAGTGTTGTGCGTTTCCATTTTCAGTGATGCATTATTTTAAGTTTATTTTTCGCGCGAAATGCGTAGCGCAAAATTAAGCGACACGTGGCGGTTTGGGAAAGGAATAAAGTTGACATTTTGTGCAGCATGTGCCTGGCTTTGATGAAGGTAGCAACAAGAGATTCCACATGGGAGGCAAGGAGCTTCGATCTGAAGAGGGCGTACCGGCAGTGCGCTATCCACCCTGAGCACTCCAAGTACAGCTACATCGCGGTGGCTCATCCTGCAGAGAAGCGAATCAAATGCTTCAAAATGAAGGCGCTCCCATTCGGCAGTGTCATGTCAGTACATTCTTTTCTACGGCTGTCCCACAGCCTGTGGGCGATCATGGTTTCAATTTTTGGTGTGTTCATTTCAAATTACTTCGACGATTTTGTCGCCCTGGCCACCTCATGTGAAACGACTTCGGTCACCGCTGCTGTGACGTTAACGTTCAAGATGCTGGGGTGGATCTTCGCTGAGACCGGAGACAAAGCACCACCGTTTGCCAGCGTTGTTGCAGCTCTTGGGGTGACGATTGATGTTTCCCTTCTTCATCGCGGCCGTGTTCGGATCGACAACACTGAGAGCCGAAAAGCTGAGATCGCGGCCGCCATCGCCCAGATCCTTGATACAGGCACGTTAATCAGGCCTGATGCATTGCGTTTGAGAGGAAGGTTACAATTTGTGGCTGGTCAGATTTTTGGCCGTATTGCTAAGCGTTCATTGGCACTCATTACAAAGCATGCCTATGGTGAATGTGGCCCGACCATCTCTGACGAGACGCGTCATGCGTTGAAACTTTTTCATCAACTGATCTTGATGGATGTGCCGAGGGAGGTTTCCTTGACAACGGGACGCTCCTGGTACATCTTTACAGACGCATGCTATGAACCGGATAATGCAGAAAAGACAGCTGGAATTGGAGCTGTGTTGGTTGATCAATTTGGCAGGTACAGAGGTTTCTTTTCAGTTTTTCTTACAGAAGATTTGCTGGCCAAGCTCAACATCACCAAGCGGAAGACCATCATTTTCGAATGTGAACTACTTGCAATTTTTGTTGCAATGACATGCTGGTCACAACACTTACAAGATTCGCAGGTGGTGGTGTGCACTGATAATGAGGGCGTAAAGGATGCGCTCATAGCTTGTCAGACCTCCAGCTACAATGCTACCCCGATTTTGGTAGCGCTCCTCCAACTTGAATTTGATTTGAAATGGAACGCTTGGTTTAGCAGAGTTCCTTCAGAATCCAATGTGGCTGACGACCCGTCGCGAGGTGAGATACAGAAACTTCTTACACAAGGTGTGCAACAATTTCAGATCAACCTTGACAGCATGTGGAATGGTCTACTGGAATTAGCTACGAGGGGTGGCTTCGACCAGCATTCCATGCCCCATGCTGTAAAAAGGTGTGACCGCAGTTTGGAGGACAGTTACAGTGAGATTAATGAAGCTATCTGAAAGAATGCGAACTAATCGAGTGAAACTGCAGTGAACGTTGTGAACGTCCGAGAAACTGGTTCAAGTGATTTAGACCTGTCTGTGCATGTGCAACATGACATGTCAATTTAACATGTGAAACATGTTTCTTTTCTTGGTCATTTTTCACTGGCCCACCCACTGTGCCACCCATGCCAGTGAAGAAGGCCGAACCCCAAGCCTGGCTTCGACCAGCATTCCATGCCCCATGCTGTAAAAAGGCGTGACCGCAGTTTGGAGGACAGTTACAGTGAGATTAAAAAAATGAATAAGCACAGTTGTAGTGTTGTCAATCAACGTAATACTTTGATCGTTACATGCTAGAAAGAACATCGGTATAAAAAAAATGCGGCGCGCTTACATGCATAAAACGATCTGGGCCCTTTAGCTGCAATCGTGTTGCAAATTCATCCTGCAGGGGGGTTTTCATAAAGCGTGTGCGCTGTGATTGCCCTGTGTGCGCCCGGCGGCCAGAATGAGAAGGGCAGGGCAATAAAACGTTTCATGTGTTGCGTATTTGTTGATGTTTTTTTGTTGTTGGAAATATATTTTTGGTTTATTCTTGTTTGATATATGTTGATTTTTTATTCAAACATTTTGCCAGAACATTTTGGGATGGTTTTTTCAAGGTCTCCTGGTCCACCAGGTCCCCGTCAGATCCATTGACTCCTCGTGTTATTTGGTTGACCCTTGATTCTTCCAAGGGTCTTCATGCCATGCCAAGCACATCTCCCCTTCCAAATCTCGGAGGCAGTCTGGATAGGCCCTTGAATGGATGAGTCCCTGGCTGTGTGTCACCTTTACAACGGTTGCGCCATGCCGTGAAGTGCATCAATTGGAAACTTTCACTTTCAACACTCAAAACTAGGGAGGGTCCTAGGGTGTGGGTCAAACTGTCATTCTGTTTTATTTTGAGATGACAATGCCATGGAAATTTCGGATTCGAATGGATTTGCGGGCTTTGCTCCAAGGTCCAGAGGTCTTTGCTGCCAAAGTTGCATCCTTGCTCCATCCTGTTTCGGTTCAGCCAGTTGGTGGCCCGTGCAAAAATGGCTAGCAAGATCACGGAAGTGCAGGTGCCAAATGAATGTTTGGCGTCCTTTGAAGGTGTTTTTGTTGGTTTCCTTCACACAGCCAAACTTCGAAGATCTTCAAACGGTGCCAATGTTAAGTCAGATTTGCCATTTGACAGGAACTCCATGGCGATGAGGCCCATCTGCCAGCCTTCAAGGCTCAGTCTGCACCCCCATTTGGAACAGGTCCTTCTTGGGAAGGAAGGGGGACAAAATCCTCCAGACTTGGACCCGCATCATTCAAGTACTCAATCTTTGAGCCAACTTGAGGATTTGTACATGGTAGATTTTGATCCCCAAAAATGTTGCATTGTGCTAGGTTGACATTTCCGGGTTGACCTGCATGACACTGGAGGTGGGCAAAGCTGGGGTGTGAAGTCTGATGCTCTACGATGGTTTGGTTCTCTTTGGTAGGGTTGGTCAGCCAAACCAGGTCCCGTCAGTGCAGAGCAAAGATGCCTGGAATAGTTTTCTGCAGTTGCTCTCGCAAGGATGCTCAGAGTTCGTTTCTTTTCGCTCTCTCGCTCGAATTATCTTGAATCTTTTACAGTTCTGTTGAAAAAAATACATTGGCATGAACCAAGTTGACACACGGAATCAGTTTCTTTGTTCATTTGTACTCCAATTTTTTGTGGTGCCGTATTGTGATTCACAGCGACGATTTTCTATGATTTCCCGGTGCAGTGCCCAGGCTGGCAGATGGCATCGTAATCTTGCGCATAGCAGATGAGGCCGAACATGACCAGGACTCCGGCCAACAGGATTTCCTAGGGCCCATATTTTCTCGCTGGGAACTGTGGGGGAAGGTGCCCTTTCGTTGCTGAAATCGCAGGAGGGCTACTTGGCCAAATCGCCATTGCTGGCAGAGGCACCAGCTGTAGAATGTCATCAAGTGGGAAGTGGATTCAAAATAGAGAAACAAAACGGTTCGCATTTTGTATTATAAATCATATAATATCATATAATATATAATATATATATATATTATATACTCTGAAACTGAGATGGTGTTCATTTGTTCATACTTTTTACAAGTTCATTCGTTCACTGTTTAGCGGTTTTGCTTGTCGAAGCTGGAATAATTGGCGCCAATGCTGTGATGTGGCAAAGCACTGTCAGGTCTACGAGATCATCGAAAGCCGGCCAATGTTCATTGTTTGTGTTTGCAAGGCAGGCGCAGTGACAGTGCAGACAAATTGTGGACTATCAGATGTTTGGGACAAACAACTTGCAGACTCCCATTTGTAACCGACTGTAACCATCCATGCTGTCCATGCTTAGTTGGATCAAGTTCAAGGTTTTGCCATTTCATGTCAGGGCCCAGTGCGGGCTTCGCTCATGACACTACCAGCGTTGTCGCAGCTAGTCGTGGCAACGGCGGATGCTACGTTTGGTTCCCGAGCATGCCTACAGCAAAAGCGAGGGAACAATTTGTAAAGTCAGTTATACACATAGACACATAGACATTTGCGTACTGTGTACATGGATATCCGCACACATGGTCACATGGACAACAATTTTCAGTGCTTCTTGATCCAATGAAAACTGAGGTTCGGTTTGCCAAAGTACAGCCAGCCCCTGAGTATCCAACTGTTTTCAAATCCTCTTCTGGTCATAGAATGTCACAGAGACGTTGCCCCCGAGGACATGATCTGCATCCCATCACCACCATTGCTTTGAAGAAGCGGCTAATGGAGAAGGTGGGTAAAGTGTTGAAAGACTCCTGGAGGAATCCCATGAGTCCATCTATGTCCATCTGGAACTATTTTGGCATATTTTGGCCCTCACGCTTCGCGGCTTCGTGGCTTCGTGGCCTTCTTTTGAGTTCAAGTCAAGTCCAAAATCATGTCATTCAAAATCATTCTGATCCTCCTCTTTACCGTTTACCTGAACTACCTGAATTTACATTTTCTAGTTACCACCACTCACTCGCACAAACCCTTCGCAAACATCATCATCTTACGTCGCTTGAATCTCGGCCAAACCTTCCAACAGAATGGCACTGCTTCGGAGGCTGTTCGTCGGCTGCAACTGGTTGGCGATCCGATTGATGCGAATGAAGCCCAGCGGCCTTGTCCTCGGAAGGATGAATGGCACCGAGCCAGAATGTGTTGAAAATGGTTTCACTCACTGTTACATAGCACATTCATTTTAAAGCTGTTGCCCTTTCTGGCAAGGTGTTTATGTTTGTAATGTCACACAAACACACGAACACACAAAGCGAGTCAAGCACCACGTATTTCAGGGTTGCGACTCAAGGTTGGGCTTGGTTGACTTTGTGGGAAGCGAGGCAGGGGCAGTTTGAGCTGTGAGGGCACTTTCTTTTTACAGATTTCGTTGCGGCTTAACAGAATTTTTATCATTGGCCTTGTGATCAAGCTTCGCTGTAGCTACTGCTTTGCACGCCTTGGCAGGCTGCCGTGGAAAACGAGATATGCCGGCTGATCTACAGAAATTGCTCGCCAGCAAGCCAATACTTTATGTGCCCGCTGGATCTGACATTCCTCAAGGGCCAAAGCCTTCAGTTTTGGTGATTTGACTGCCTTGGACTCCAGGTACAAATCTGACTTGGTCAAGGCAATGCGCGAAAAAGAAGAGAACTAGGAGTTGGTTGCAGCGATACTGCCCATGTCCTGGCATATAGACACATGATGTATCTGGATCATTGCTGCATTTTTCGTCCTTCCTAGGTTAAGATATACCATCAAACCAAACCGCTCATTGCAAAACATCAGTGGTACACTGGATGTTTTTTTTTTGCAGGAGATGGGGCGCCAAAGTGAGCCGGATGGCAGGTGAAGTCCCAACATCCAAAGTCTCTGAACCCCCGAAGCGATCGCAGTTGTCATGTCAGTGGGTGCTGTTTTCGTGTTTTGAGCTGTGGGGACAGTCTAAAGTCTAAAGTTAAAGGCATGTCATCAACTGATATAGCCGCAGGAAGCTACAGGAAGCATTTACAAAAGAAACAGCATCAACTCTTCCAGTGTAGAGGGTGACCCACTCGACCCGCTCGAGCGAGTCAGCCGGTGCACCTCAATGATTGCTGGAGAAATGATGCTGCTGCCTGCAGATGGAGATCAGCAATTTTGTGTTTGGTTTGGCGGTCAGGCATTGGTACTCCAAAACACCGAAATGGATATGGTGTATCAATCTTGAAGTTTGTGATTCTTGATCACTAAAATCTACTAAACACAGTCAGATATGAACGAAAGATGTAACCCACTAAAACAAACGCCCCAAATCTGGTGGCGAACAAACCCAGATCAGCCTGGTGAGATGTTTGTGCCGTTCCAGCCGTTCAGCCAGTAGGCGTAGATGCTGGATGATGTTAGATGAAGAGTGCTGAATGTACCATCATCGATTCTTCCAGAGTTGAACAATCCACCGTTTGTAACACCTAATTGGATACATATAAGTGTATAGTATATACCAGTTTTCTACTGACATGGGTCTGTTTCGATCTCTTTTTTAGTTTTCTGGGTATGCTCTTTCGAAATGCAGCCAGCATGCCGCAGAATGTTGAACTGCAAGAAGACATGCCCTTTGTCACTCAGCCTTACATGTGCAAGACAAGTTCAAGATTTCGATACTGTAGGGCTTCCCTTGAAATAGGATGAAATAGGTGATTTCACTTGATTTCAGGCATCCCAGAATTGCCGAGATTTTTGGGCACAGCCATGCCGCGGAGTGATATACCTATTCCGTGGAGCACCTTGCGTGCGCCGCTGCTACCCCGGCCGGATTGGCAAAATCCTGCAGGAGATTTGAAAACGTTTTGAACGTCCGACATCAAAGCAGAAATCATAAGGAACTCAGAAGAACTTGTCAACTTGTCCCCTTTGTGCTCATTTTGTCTCATCTAGTGTCAGCTTGTCTCATGTCTTAAGATCATTAGCTGATGGTGGCGATGGTGGTGGTACTTTTTTGCCCCCGGTAGACCGGTAGACCCGAGACCTGGCAAGGAGCCGAGCCGCCGAACGAGCCAGGCTCTGCTGATTCAGAGAGTTCGGTGGAGGCCGATGCCAACTTGGTGGATTTGGTGAATGCGACAACTTCGAGTGAACGGAGTCGTGCGGTGTCACAGTGCGCTTGTGCGGTGCTGCTGTGCCTTGCTTGCTTTGGGGCCATTGTGATGATACTGCGGGAGGCAGTCCAAGGTGCCACCAAGAGTTTCTATTGCTCCGCTGATGGGCAAACGCCAGAAGCGTCTCCAGCACCCACGGCATGCGCCGTTCCTCTGGCATTGGCAGCAATTCTTTGCAACCTCACCGTGGTGGTTGGATTGCTATACGTTTTACGATTTGCTTGGTTAGCTGGAAGGACCATTCAAGAAGGCCCTGCCTCCCTTACACAGATGCAACGGAACCGTGCAAAGCTGCAAAAAGACTTAACGAAGTGGCGAAGTGTCAGCGCAAAGGCAGCGGGGTTTGGCTGGAGATGCTGTTTCTACTGTACATAGGAAACAGGCAATAGCCGGCAATAGCAATAATGTCACCCTAGTATCAATAAACCTTGATTGATTCGGGGGTACTCCCCAAAATAGTGAAATTATTTCCTATCAAAATGATGTCCGCCCCAATTAAATAGCCCAGGGGTTTGTGAATCCAGGGAGGACATTGCTGTATTAGAGTGTTACTTCGTTACTTCTTTATGCTTCTTTAACCATGCTGACCCACAAGCATCTGCTCAGGTCCTTGTCGTTGCGGGCCTGACCTACTTGGTTGCTGGAGCTCCGTGTGCTGGAGTTGCCAAACTTGCTTTGGTGTTTCTGGCCACAGGCAGCTTGGATGCGATTCACGGATGCCATGTTGATGATGTTACTGGCGATGCCACTGGATGCCATCACTTCCATGGACATCCTGTATCTTCTGGAGTTACCTTGATTTCGCAGCTTTGAAACCAGCATTGATGGAGAATCGGTTTCTCACAGAAAGATGTTTCATCAGAGTGTGTATGAATCTCGGCCCTCCTGGATTCTAATGAGGCTTCATCACGCTTTATGCCACCGCACTGTTTTTTGACCAAGACTTTGAACAGGCCAGTTGAGCATTGACTGTAGAGTCTATTTCTTGATTTCACACCTCAGTGTTTCTCCAGATTTTTGCCAAGTCTTGCCAACGCCAGGTTCGAATGTCTCCAAGATTATTGCGTTTTTTGTTGGTGTATGTGCTGGTTGGTTTGACCTTCACTGCTTTGGCCTCTGGTGCTACAGAGCGAGTGCTGCGAGCACATTTCGATGGTGCCAAAGTGGCATGTTTGGGCGCCATCATCCAGGCACTGAATGAATTGGCTGCTTCTGCCAGGTTTGCAAGGAAATCCTCGAGGTGTTGAAGAAGTTGGTGGCCTTGGAGCGAGTATCATAGGTGGTTGACTTAGTAGCTTATGTAGCTGTGAGCCCAATCTGAGAGGATTTTAGTTCCATCAGCTACTTCTGGCCATGATTCCAACCGAGGCCCTGAAGATGCGAATCACTTTGCGGATGTTTGTACCTCCCTGGGTAGGCAGCAAGTTGCACCATCTTGGCGGGAAGCTCAGAACCCCCCTTTGCTGTAAGAACTATTTAAAGGCTTACACCTGACAGCCGGGCGCCAAGCAATCTTGGCACCATGTTGGCCCTATGTTGGGCCTATGTTGGCCTATGTTGAGCCATCTTGGGAGCTATGTTGGGGCCATGTTTGGGGCATCTATGTTGAAACGATCTTAAGATGCCAATTTTTCCGCCCCGGGCCCCCTCCTGGAGCCCAAAACAACGTAAAAACCGAGGTTTTGTAACATCGCCAAGATGAAATCCCTTGCCGCCGAAGGGCCCCAAACACCGTAAAAAATGATGTTTTTGAACACCGCAAGCACAAAACACCGTAAATTACGTAGGCTTCAGTCGATCGGGAGTGGGATGGGGGGTGGTTCGGAGGTGGGTCGGCGGCAGGGGCGGCAGCGCACGGGCTGCGTGGCCGGCGCCCGGATTTCCATCTATTTCGGTGTTTCCCCAAACTATGGCACCTCAAATGACTGCTTTCCCCATAAACTCCAATTTGGAGGATTTTGGGTCCCATCGGTCCCATGGGTCCCCCAAAGGAAAGCCCCATGAGCATCACGTCGCTCTTGGAAGGTGCACCATGCCGCTGGACTTTGTCGCTGCGGTGGCTTTGTGGCTAAACCCTCAGCAGCGGTAGAGAGCATTGTGGAAAAAATCTTGTATTTGAAGATGGCAACGGAGCATCTCCCTTTCTGACTCTGTATAGATTGTCTTTCCCTAAAAATCAACCTGAGTAAAAATAGCCATTTATGATTGGCTCATAAATATCGTCGTTGATAGAGCGTGTTTTCCAAGTTCAACTGATGAATGGTTTTCCCATTCAGAGCTCCGACTTTCTGGAGCATTTCCCAGCAATATCTCAGGTGGGCGGCCTCGCCTGTTTTCGCCATCCTGTTGCCAGCAAGGACAACGGATCAGCCCAATGGAGGACCCCTCGTACCAAGTTGTCTCCTTGCTGAGGTAAAAAGTCAGGGATTTTAATGGATTTAAGCATCCGGCATCCCCCAAAAACTTTTTGTAGATTTCTTACGGTAAATGTTTTTTAAGTTTTTTGTGTTGAATACACCAAACATGGGGGATGCAGTCGATATGTGATGGTTGTTTGTTGGTGTTGATGAGTCGGGTTATCAGTAGTATGCCTCGTTATTGGAAACCGCCCTCAACTCGAAAGGATGACTGGATTTTGAGGGGTACGTTTGGACAAAGCCAAGTGCTGCTTTGACTTTAGGCATTTTAGTTGATTTGGTAACATAAGAAAGAGGCCGATGCTTGGATGGTAATCTAAATCCATGGAATCCATTTCGGATTGGCGAACTTCAATCTCTATTGTGCAAGAAGGGAGAAGCTGTACTGAAGACCGTTGGCTGCATGAGCCGCTTCAGGACTATGCAGACACTTTCTCCAAAAATGGCGAAAACACATTGACTTTCTGATCATGGGGGTCAGCGGCTTATTCCCAACGTGCAGCATGCTGTGGGCACACCGGGAGCTTGTTCTGAGGTTGCAGGGGTCCTCCTGGCCCTGTTTCGCAAACCGTGTGCTCCTCAGCTACAGCGATTTGGGAAGTCTCACAGTTGCTCTGCACTTTTGGCTTGTCCTTCAGACGGCGCTGCTGAGTTGTGCTCATTTGGCACCGATAGCTTTTGGAAATGCGGAGCTTGGAGTTTGGGGAGTCTCTCTGGCGGGTGCTTGGAGCATGTCAGTGAGCAAGGCATTCAGACAATTTCGAAGATTCTTAACTATACATATCGCAAGAAAACACTGCACTGCCATCCTCACCCTGCTATGGGGCGTTTTGTCGGTAAAAGCCTGATGCCTAGACAAATTTCAGCGCCTGCCCTCTTTCTTCTTGGCTCGTCGTCTCAGCATTTGAAGAATCCAGGTGTGAAAACGCAAGCATGATTTGGACCCTCAACGGAAAGGCTCCAAAATATCAACAGAGCAGGTGTACAGTATACAGCATATAGGACACGATTTAGATTGGAAAAACATCGTCGCTGACCTGCAGCTGTTTACGAGGGCTAAAGGCCGGCTTGGGTTCTCAAGAATGACCCGTGTTGAGAAGCCGAGACGCCCCAAGCGAGTCACGGGTGGGTCTAGCAGTTTAGCGACAAAATGGCAAACTTATTTGATTTTGCAGTGTCCACTGTGGAAATCCGTGGAATTGTTTGGCAACTGTTCCTTGAAGTCAAACTTCCAAAGAACATGAAAGGAAGCTCCCTTCGCAGTCATCTTGGGTTAAAATTTTCAATCTTCGCGTTGCCAGGCATTGATGGAGTTCATAGATGGTGCCTGAAGGCGTGGGCGGCGTGGACCTTTTCTGGGTACCTTTGGGCACCGACCTGGTCAGGTTTCCTCGATGGCGAGCTTGATCCAGAGGAAGCCAAGCTCTCCTTGGAGGCGTCGGGTCTTTCCTATGTCAGGTGACAGGTACAGCCTGTCTGACAATTTTGGATCACCAATCCTTCCAAATCCCTTTGACATGGTTTCCATGTTTCAAGGAAAAAACATATATAAAAATATATGATATATATATATATATATAATATTATATAAATTTACATACATACAAACATACCTACCTACCTACATACGTACGTACGTACGAACGAACGAATGAACGAACGTACATACGTACACACGTACATACATGACATACATGACATACATGACATACATGACATACATGACATACATGACATACATGACATACATGACATACATGACATACATTACGTTCATTACGTACATTACATACAATATGTACATTACGTACATTACGTACATTACGTACATTACGTACATTACATACAATACATACATTATGTTCATTACGTACATTACGTACATTACATACGTTACAATACAATACATACATTACATACATAACAGAACATATCATAAACATAACAATAACATAACATAAACATAAACATCACATAACATAAACATAAACATTAACATTGACATTAACACAACATCACATAACATAACATAGCACTGCATAACATAACATACGCATAAACAACACATAACACAAACATACACATTAACATACGCATAACATAACATAGCACAACATAGCATTACATAAAATAACTTAACATCAACATAACATTAACATAACATTAACATAACATTAACATAACATTAACATGACATGACACAACATACATAACATAACATGAGCATCAAAATAACATCAACATACCATAACATAACATTAACATAAAACAACATAACATAACATAACATAACATAAACATGACATACCATAACACAGATACCATAACATAACAAGACATGACATGACATAACACAAGATAGCACTGCATAACATAACATAAGCTTAAACATGACATAACACAAACATACACATTAACATACACATAATCACATAACATAACATAGCATAACATAACATAGCATAACATAATATAACATTAACATAACATTAACATAACATTAACATAACATTAACATAACATTAACATAACATTAACATAACATTAACATAACATTAACATAACATTAACATGACATGACGAAACATACATAATAAAACATTAACAGACCGATAGCACAACATCAATATTAAAATAACATAACAGAAGATTAACATAACATTAACATAACATCAACATCACCGTAACACAAACATACACATTAACATACACATTAACGTACACATAACATGACATGACATGAAATAACATAACATAGCTTTAAAAAAACATAAAATAAAAAACATTGACATAATATTGACATAGCATCAACATTAACACAACTTAACATAACATAACACAACATAACATAACATAACATGACACAACATAGCATAACATGACATGACATACCATAACATAGCATAATATAACATAACATAACACTAACAAATTATTAGCATAACATTAACATAACATCAACATTAACTTAACATAACACAATAACATAAAGTGACATAACATAACATGACATGACATAACATGACATAGCATAATATTACAAAACATAACATAACATGACATGACACAACATTAACATAACATTAGCATAACATCAATATGAACATAACGTAACATAACAAAACACGACATCAGATAACATCACACAACATAACATAACATGACATAACATAACATGACATGACAAAACATACCATAGCATAAGATAACATAACATAACATAACATTAACATGAACCTAACATAACGAAACACCAACATCAACATAAAATAACATAACACAGCATCACATAACATGACATAAGATGACCTAAAATAACATGACATGACATAACATAACATAGTTTAATTTGACGTAACATAACACAACATAACATCAACATAACATGAATATAACATTAACATAACATGAACATAACATCAACATTAACAAAACACAACAAAACATAACACAACATGACATAACATGACACAACATGTTATAACATGACACAACATAACATAACACAACACAACATAACATGACATAAAATGACATGACATAACATAACATGACATAACAGAACATAACAAAACATAACAACACATAACATTAATATAACATTAACATAACATCAACATTAATAAAACACAACAAAACATAACACAACTTTAACATAACATGGCATAACATGACATAACACAACATAATAACATGACATAACATGACATGACATAACATAACATGACATGACATAACATAACATAGCATAATATAATAATATAACATAACATTAACAAAACATTAATATAACATCAACATTAATATAACATCAACATTAACATAACATAACACAACATGACATAACACAACATAACATAACACAACATAACATAACATAACATAAAAAACCATAACATAACACAACATAACATAACAAAACATAGCATAACATGACATAACATAACATGACATGACAGAACATAACACAACATAACATAACATAACATAGCATAACATGACATAACATAACATGACATGACAGAACATAACATGACATGACAGAACATAACATGACATAATATAACAAAACATAGCATAACATGACATAACATAACATGACATGACAGAACATAACATGACATAATATAACAAAACATAGCATAACATGACATAACATAACATAACATGACATGACAGAACATAACATGACATAATATGTTATAACATAACATGACATGACAGAACATAACATTACATAATATAACAAAACATAGCATAACATGACATGACAAAACATAACATGACATAATATGACAAAACATAACATGACATGACAGAACATAACATGACATGACAGAACATAACATAACATAGCACTGCATAACATAACATAATATACATACATAATTGTCACATAACATTGGTGGGTCCCTGATTTATTGGACATGTTGAATGTTGCAGGAGCTGCAGCTGGAATCTGAGATTCGGGCCCTGGAGATGGAGGTGGACATCCAAAAATGGCCGACTTTCAACATACCCAAAATGGATCAAGTGATGAATTCACGTTTTTTTTTTTTTAAACTGTCCGTTTTGAAAAGAGTTGACCATTTTGGATGTGCTATGCGAATTTTGCGGACAGTTGGGACATGCCTCAGAGTGCAAAACGCGAAGCACTTCCAAGTGGATCCCAGTGGTTCTGCCGCAGATGGCGATCCTTGACATGAAGCGACAGATCGAGGTGCAGGTGCCTTTGCCATCCCAGCTGTGCCTCTTGGGTTGGCAGCGATTGCAACGCGAGGAGGAACACCTGCAGAACTGGGAGCAGATGTTGGCCAAGAACAAGGTCTGGAGCTTGAAATTTTGGAAGTTCTTGAAAGCCAGCTTCATTTGTCCCCACCTATTTTTTTTGCCAAACATATGCTGAAGAAAGTGGATGGAACACAATTTCTCCAGCTTTGGGTCATGTCAATCATGAAGTGGCCGCAACAGCTGGGCTCATGGACTTTTTGCCCCCAACCGGCCACGATGAAACAAAAGAAAATCAAAAGCATAATAGAATGGGCTAGCGCCCAGGTGCCGCCGACCCCCCTCTATTTGGGGGGGACTGTGGGGAGAGAGAGAGAGAGAGAGAGAGAGAGAGAGGAGAGGGAGAGAGAGAGAGAGAGAGAGAGAGAGAGAGAGGAGAGGGAGAGATGGATGGATGGATGGATGGATGGATGGATGGATGGGGATGGATGGATGGATGGACGGATGGACGGATGGATGGATGGATGGATGGATAGATAGATAGACAGACAGACAGACAGACAGGTAGACATGTGAATAGATGATAGATTGATGGATAGATAGAGGGATAGAGAGAGAGAGAGAGATAGATTGATAGATAGGTAGATAGACAGTTTGATAAACAGGTGGATAGATATTGTTGGACAGATGTATAGATAGAGGGAGAGAGAGAGAGAGAGAGGGAGAGAGAGAGAAAGAGAGAGAGAGAGATAGATGACAGATAGGTAGATAGACAGTTGGATAAACAGATGGATAGATCGATTGTTGGATAGATAGATAGTGGCATAGGAAGAAAGACAGATGGATTTATATATACTTTGAGTGTCAAGGACCCTCCGTTCTTAGGACTGTCATTGTAACCTCATGTTTTTAGTCCTTTTGTGAGTTTGTGGGGTAACGTAATGAAAAAAAGGGTTTTGCACTTAGGCGGTACATAATCATACATTTTGGAGCGTTTGGAGAGTTTTGGAGGGTTTGCGGGCTGGCAAACGGCAGCGTTGAAAGCGCATAGAAAGCCATTGCTGTGGCCTGGCCCTGGGGTGCCTGTTGGGGAAGTGGCCTTGGCCCTGGCCCTGGGGTGCCTGTTGGGGAAGTTGCCTTGGCCCTGGGGTGCCTGTTGGGGAAGGTGTTTGGAATTTTGTTTTGGAAAGTTTGGAGCCTTTGCGGGCTAGCAAACGGCAGCTTTGAAATTCATAAAAAGTGGTGGCCCTGGGGGTTTGGAATTTTGGAAGGGTTTGGAGCCTTTGCGGGCTGGCAAACGGCAGCTTTGAAAGCCTATAGAAAGTCATTGCTGTTGCCCTGGCCCTGGGGTGCCTGTTGGGGAAGTGGCCTTGGCCCTGGCCCTGGGCCCTGGCCCTGGGGTGCCTGTTGGGGAAGTTGCCTTGGCCCTAGGGTGCATGTTGGGGAAGGGGTTTGGAATTTTGGAAGTTTGGATCCTTTGCAGCTTTGAAAGCGTCAAGAAAGTCATTGCTGTGGATCTGGGGTGCCTGCTGGGGACGGTGTTTGGAGGGTTTGGCGGGTTTTGGAGGGTTTGGAGCGTTGGAGGGTTTGGCGGGTTTTGGAGGGTTTGGAGCGTTTGGAGCGTTTGGAGAGTTTTGGAGGGTTTGCGGGCTGGCAAACGGCAGCTTTGAAAGCCCATAGGAAGCCATTGCTGTGGCCTGGCCCTGGGGTGCCTGTTGGGGAAGTGGCCTTGGCCCTGGCCCTGGGGTGCCTGTTGGGGAAGTGGCCTTGCCCTGTTTTAAGGAAGGTGTTTGGAATTTTGGGGGGGTTGCAACCTTTGCGGGCTGGCAAACGGCAGCTTTGAAAGCCTCAAGAAAGTCATTGCTGTGGATGTGAGGTGCCTGCTGGGGACGGTGTTTGGAGGGTTTGGCGGGTTTTGGAGGGTTTGGAGCGTTTGGAGCGTTTGGAGAGTTTTGGAGGGTTTGCGGGCTGGCAAACAGCCATTGCTGTGGCCTGGCCCTGGGGTGCCTGTTGGGGAAGTGGCCTTGGCCCTGGCCCTGAGGTGCCTGTTGGGGAAGTGGCCTTGGCCCTGGGGTGCCTGTTGGGGAAGGTGTTTGGAATTTTGTTTTGGAAAGTTTGGAGCCTTTGCGGGCTAGCAAACGGCAGCTTTGAAATTCATAAAAAGTGGTGGCCCTGGGGGTTTGGAATTTTGGAAGGGTTTGGAGCCTTTGCGGGCTGGCAAACGGCAGCTTTGAAAGCCTATAGAAAGTCATTGCTGTTGCCCTGGCCCTGGGTGCCTGTTGGGGAAGTGGCCTTGGCCCTGGCCCTGGGCCCTGGCCCTGGGGTGCCTGTTGGGGAAGTTGCCTTGGCCCTAGGGTGCATGTTGGGGAAGGTGTTTGGAATTTTGGAAGTTTGGATCCTTTGCAGCTTTGAAAGCGTCAAGAAAGTCATTGCTGTGGATCTGGGTGCCTGTTGGGGACGGTGTTTGGAGGGTTTGGCGGGTTTTGGAGGGTTTGGAGCGTTTGGAGCGTTTGGAGAGTTTTGGAGGGTTTGCGGGCTGGCAAGCGGCAGCTTTGAAAGCCCATAGAAAGCCATTGCTGTGGCCTGGCCCTGGGGTGCCTGTTGGGGAAGTGGCCTTGGCCCTGGCCCTGGGGTGCCTGTTGGGGAAGTGGCCTTGCCCTGTTAAGGAAGGTGTTTGGAATTTTGGGGGGGTTGCAGCCTTTGCGGGCTGGCAAACGGCAGCTTTGAAAGCATCAAGAAAGTCATTGCTGTGGATCTGAGGTGCCTGCTGGGGACGGTGTTTGGAGGGTTTGGCGGGTTTTGGAGGGTGTTGGAGAGTTTGGAGAGTTTGCGCGGGTTTGCTGGCTGGCAAACAAACAAAATACCCAAAAAACAAAGGGAAGCTTGAAGCCCAAGAAAGCCAATGCTGTGGCCTGGCCCTGGGGTGCTGTTGCGGGAAGTCGGCCTTGCCCTGGCCCTGGGGTGACGTTGGGGAAGTGGCCTTGGCCTGGGGTGCCCTGTTGGGGAAGGTGTTTGGAATTGTTTGGAAAGTTTGGAGCCTTTGCGAGGTAGCAAACGGCCAGCTTTGAAAGCATCAAGAAAGTCATTGCTGTGGATCTGAGGTGCCTGCTGGGGACGGTGTTTGGAGGGTTTGGCGGGTTTTGGAAGGTTTGGAGCGTTTGGAGAGTTTTGGAGGGTTTGCGGGCTGGCAAACGGCAGCTTTGAAAGCCTAAGAAAGCCATTGCTGTGGCCTGGCCCTGGGGTGCCTGTTGGGGAAGTGGCCTTGGCCCTAGGGTGCATGTTGGGGAAGGTGTTAGGAATTTTGGAAGTTTGGATCCTTTGCCAGCGTGAAAGCGTCAAAAGTCATTGCACTGTGCGATCTGGGGTTGATGCGGGGGACGGTGTTTGGAGGGTTTTGGCGGTTTGGCGGGTTTTGGAGGGTTTGGAGCGTTTGGAGCGTTTGGAGAGTTTTGGAGGGTTTGCGGGCTGGCAAACGGCAGCTTTGAAAGCCCATAGGAAGCCATTGCTGTGGCCTGGCCCTGGGGTGCCTGTTGGGGAAGTGGCCTTGGCCCTGGCCCTGGGGTGCCTGTTGGGGAAGTGGCCTTGCCCTGTTTTAAGGAAGGTGTTTGGAATTTTGGGGGGGTTGCAACCTTTGCGGGCTGGCAAACGGCAGCTTTGAAAGCCTCAAGAAAGTCATTGCTGTGGATGTGAGGTGCCTGCTGGGGACGGTGTTTGGAGGGTTTGGCGGGTTTTGGAGGGTTTGGAGCGTTTGGAGCGTTTGGAGAGTTTTGGAGGGTTTGCGGGCTGGCAAACGGCAGGCTTTGAAAGTCTTAAAAGTTCTCATTGCTGTGGCCCTGGCCCGGGGGTTTGGAATTTTGGAGGGGATTGGAGCCTTGCGGGCTGGCAAACGGAAGCTTTGAAAAGCACATAGAAAGTCATTGCTGTGGGCCCTGGCCCGGGGTGCCTGTTGGGAGCTGTTTAAGGGTAAAGTTTGGAGGGTTTGGAAGAGGGACAACGTCCAACTGCGGTTCGGGGAACGGGTGTTTGGAGGGTTTGGCGGGTTTTGGAGGGTTTGGAGCGTTTGGAGAGTTTTGGAGGGTTTGCGGGCTGGCAAACGGCAGCTTTGAAAGCCTAAGAAAGCCATTGCTGTGGCCTGGCCCTGGGGTGCCTGTTGGGGAAGTGGCCTTGGCCCTAGGGTGCATGTTGGGGAAGGTGTTTGGAATTTTGGACGTTTGGATCCTTTGCAGGCTGGCAAACTGCAGCTTTGAGGCCCATAGAAAGTCATTGCTGTGGCCCTGGCCCCCTGTTAAGGAAGGTGTTTGGAATTTTCGAGGGGTTGCAGCCTTTGCGGGCTGGCAAACGGCAGCTTTGAAAGCATCAAGAAAGTCATTGCTGTGGATCTGAGGTGCCTGCTGGGGACGGTGTTTGGAGGGTTTGGCGGGTTTTGGAGGGTTTGGAGCGTTTGGAGGGTTTGGAGGGTTTGGAGAGTTTTGGAGAGTTTTGGAGGGTTTGCGGGCTGGCAAACGGCAGCTTTGAAAGCTTAAGAAAGCCATTGCTGTGGCCTGGCCCTGGGGTGCCTGTTGGGGAAGTGGCCTTGGCCCTGGCCGTGGGGTGCCTGTTGGGGAAGTGGCCTTGGCCCTGGGGTGCCTGTTGGGGAAGGTGTTTGGAATTTTGTTTTGGAAAGTTTGGAGCCTTTGCGGGCTAGCAAACGGCAGCTTTGAAATTCATAAAAAGTCTCATTGCTGTGGCCCTGGCCCTGGGGGTTTAGAATTTTGGAAGCGTTTGGAGCCTTTGCGGGCTGGCAAACGGCAGCTTTGAAAGCTCATAGAAAGTCATTGCTGTGGCCCTGGCCCTGGGGTGCCTGTTGGGGAAGCTGCTTAAGGGTAAAGGTTTGGAGGGTTTGGAAGAGGACAAGGTCCACACCTGCGGTGGTCCCAGGCGCCGCCCCGGCCTTGGCGAAGGCCGGGGTCGGCAGACTTTGCTGTGGGCTGGGGTTCAAGTGACCACAGGCTGGACGGCAGCAGTGCCAAAAGCTGAAGGAGGCAGCAGCTGGGAGGATTCCAAAAAAATGTCGAACGGCAGAGGGCTCTTCCTGTTACTTGTCTGTTTGTTAAATGTACCAGTCCAACCATGAACTAAACAAAATAACAGGGTGTTTCCATTCTTAGGCCAGGCATACCTTTTGACTCGGTCCAGGGGATCTATGAAGCAACATTTTTTGGTTGGACTTTGCAGTTCATCATTTAATTTCATCATCTGGAAACCAAACACATCATATATGTTGTCATAATCTTGTATCATTATTTTTTGGATGTGCATAATATATCTGATTTTTTCCCATGAAAAACTGAACTCCGCCAGGCCCAGCAGGAACTCTTTCAACTGCGAGAAAAATGTGGACTGCCCAGATTTTTCAAGAATGGAGATGTGAGAAAACAATAGAATAATGATAGGCCTACTGAGGATATATACTTCAGAGTTCCAATTTAACCATCCGATGTTCTTGTTCTAGTTCTATTAGATCATTAGATCACCATTATTTTGTGTTTTCTCACAGTTTCATTGATTTTCCCATTTTTGAAAGTAGATCTATCAGTCCACTCGATGTTTTCCCCAAGTCTCTTCAGAAAAACAGCGGCCGCTTTTTGAGGTGCTGCCATCGAGGCGCAAAGGCCACCAAGACCACCAAGGCCCAGCCCAGTCAACTTTCAAACTATTCCTGGAAATATGTGTTATTGAGTAATGGATTAGAATATAATTCAGTTATATAATATATATGTATATATATATATATAACTAATATGTTTTTGAGAAATGCTGTTGATTTATTTTGATCAAAATTTGGTGGCACCTGATATTAGCTGGGCACAAATGCCCAGAAAACTTAGTAGATGAGCTACTGCGGGTGATCCAAAGCGCTTTCCGTGTGCAGAGGCCACCTGAGCCACCTGAGCTAGAGGAAAAGTCTTCCAAAGAGGCGAAGGGGGCCAGGGAGGAGAAGCACTTGTTGAATAAGGAAATAAAGGACGAAAAATGAAAAAGGTCAATTTGTGTGGCCAAAGGAGGCTGTGCAACATTGTGTTAACAAGACTAAAGTAGCTGGAAAGGAGGTTTTCTATATCTTGGTATTGTGTGACCTGCTAGAAAGGATGCAGGGACAGATTTGTGTGGCCAGTTGAGTGCCGACTTTTTTTTTGTTCGACGGTCATTGGCAGGACGCAAGTGAGGGAGTTGCGAAGCCGTCCGAATGCTAAGAGTTTGGCTGGCAATCCTTGGGATCAGGCTGTTGACTCACTTCATTGAGGCCGGTGCAGCGCAAAGTCTCGGTGCCCAAGGAGGCATCTAAGTTCTGCTTCCAAGTCTGTCTCGGGTGATTTGCACCAAAAACTGAAGGCATTTGAAGTGCGTGCTTTAAAGTTCACCTCAATTGTAGGGTTGACATGTGCTGTGAATCCTTGGTTGGAAGAATTCACATTAAGTGTTGGGGTTGGGTATGGTGCAGGTTGCAACAGTCTCTCGTACTCGCGCAGGCTTGGCATCTAGCGTCGGGGGAATGGTCCAGTTGAGGGGTCACCGATGGCAAACGTCAATTGAACAAGGGATAACAAGGGTACAACGGGTGCATCCCACAGATCCCACAGTGCTCCAGATCCAGTTGTCGACGTGCTAAGGAGACGCCTCCGCAGAGTGTTCTCAGACAGGTCACCTGACGGTGGAGGTGTAAGCAACAAAAAATGGGGAGGTTCAACCAAGTACGTGGAGTGTAACCTGGATTTGGACGATGATCTGGAGGATATCACCACAAAACTGGCGATAAATTCAAAATGATGCATTGGAGGTATCGAAATGAGGCTGTCACCAATAAACATAGAAATCCCATCAATCAAAATGGGGATGCAGCCTCTCACAAAAAGGTATGCGAACGCAACAATGAGCTGGACGGACTGGGACGGCGTCTGGTACCAGCAAAGAAACGAAAGAAATCGGAAAACCGAGCTGGAGAGACTTGAACCCTCAAAGAGATATACTTCAACTCTTGAGTAGAGTTCAAAGACATCGCCACACCCATAGGGCAACAGGTCCAGCTGCTCTTGTTGAAGAAGTGGAAGTTAAAAGTGTGTGGTTGGTGGAATATGGACGCCATTGCCAAGGGTTTTTACGCGGTACATGTTTGTAGATAGTTTTGAATGCATCACATCAAATAGCAATGTTTCAATGAAACGGATGGGGATATAAACCAAGATTAACTCGCGTCTTACATTCCAACAAACATGACTACAGCCCAAACCTGATTTAATACATCAAATATTGATGCTCCCGTGATCTTAGCCATCATTTATGAGGCCGTCAGGTACCTACAGCAGGTGGGGGTCCAAAAGAAAATCATAAACCTCGGACAACCACAAAAAGGTCTTCTGTTCAGCAAGACATAAAAGTAGTGTATTCTCATCCCTGAACACTGTAGAAAATCAAGCTTCCTGCTTCTTTCCTTGGATCTCCGTGTCACGTGATGCCAAATCGGGGCTTCTTTATACAACAAACACACAGAAATCAACACACTTTTCTGTAGTATGTGTAGAGCAGACGACAACTGACAGGAATTCAATGTGTGTGGTCAAAAGGTTTGAACACTGGTTACATTCTCCTTTCTTGGGATCATCGATTCCCAAACCGTCCAGAATTCATCACCGATGTGGATGTAGAGGCAAAGACAGTGGCACGCGTGCGTCAAAAGGACCACGTGGTGCAAAAGCCGGAAAGGCTTGGACCTCAGAAGTGATAAACAACTTTTATCTTTTATCAAATGATGACTGATGATGGCACATCATGGCCATTGAGGACAGAGTTCTGAACTCTGAATTGGTTGACCATTCCTCACTCAACACCCATGCTAGTTTCATGCGCTGAAGAAAATCTGCCTGGTCCCAGGCGGCTTCTGCCGCTGCTGCTACTGTTGTGGCAGGAGGCACGTGATGCATGGAGTGATGCCAGGAGTGTTACGGTCAAAATGTTTGAAGACCATTGTAGTATTGCAGAAGTACTTTTGTCAGAGTTGTGCACGAGACACTGTAAAGCGATGGGGTCTCACCCAAAAGCGATGTCACAAAATCCTGGAAAGCGATATGGGACCCCAAAAAGTGACCGATGATAGAAACTGCTGAGATGCAAAGAATTTTGAAGGGAGCCCATGCGGACCCGTGAGAGTCCTCAAAGATTGCGTCTCGCTATCCAGTATAATGGGCACTGAAGGGACGCTGCGAAAATAGGATAAACTATGACAAAACATGACAAAATATGTGTATAGCAATGTATATTGCTGGAAATGGAGGTTGCAGTAAGTTGTGGGTTTGCAAGATCCTGCTGGTTTTCCTTTGTGTCCTTGGGAATTGACATGGTGGCACCTCCGTCCCCGCTCTGCCCAGGACGAAACCGTGGCGGTTACAATGGTGCACGAAATGGCTACAATGGTGGTTCGAGGTCCACTTTTTTGGATGGGGGAAAGGCACTGTGATGTAATGTATGTGTGCGTGTTTTTTCATTCCACTCGGTCTGAGTCACTGTGACGCCTGCTTGCACAACACGTTCCCAAAAGCCTCTGTGGCGGAACATGTGGAAAAACTATGGGGTGAAAACACCGAAAATGGCTCAACAGTTTTCACTTCACCAATCCCATTGAATCGGTGGCTACTAGCTGGAGCATAGCTGCTAGATATCGTTGAAAGCACTTCCCCAATAGTCAGCGCCCATGACGACACCTTTGTTCTGGCTCCTCGTGGTCCGTGATGGTTTCTGCAAATTGCAGATGAGCCTCCACCAATGCCTTGCACAGCATGGGAGGCTTTCGCCTTCGCGGTCTTCCACTGTTTGCCATTTGCCTCACGTCCTCAATATATATGTGCAATGGTACTTGATGGTCGAGATATACGTTTATCAATTCTGAAAGAATTACCGATGAAAATGATACTCTCCTGAAAAACAGTGCCCCTGGACAGGTTTGTGCCCTCACACACCTAGCTGTTCCTCGCCTAGTGCAGAAGGTCGTCACAGAACTGAGATACTTTGCCTGCGACTTTCAGATTTTGCAGCCCGAAATGCGGGCAGTCCCAAGCCGTTGCCGTGAGGTCTTCGAAATGGAAGTTGTTTTGTGAGACGGCGAAACAGAAGCCGTTGGAGCCGTTGGAGCCGTTGCGGAAAGAAAATGCGAAGCGAGATGGTTTTGATTCGGTGCTGAAATTCCTGTGAAATCCGGAGCCCTCTTTGAACTTTGCAGACTTATGGATTACTTATGGATCTTATGGCAGGTGTGCTTGCTGGCCCTGTTGCGGCGAGTATCTCCTTTAGCATGCGATGGGTGCGCTGTCCTTTGTTTGTGAATCTTTAGAATCTGATTGCTCAGAACCTTCGAAATTGAAGTGTCGTTGTTGGCAGTTTATCCGTATGTATGTAGTAGTTTCAACATTTTTGTGACCCAACAATCTACACACATATCAAACATGAAAGCCAAACTTTGATGTGTGGCAGGTGGCGTGGTCCTTTGTCGCATTTGCTTTGTCCGTTGGAGCCTCGGGCAGTTGCTGTCAGCAACAAGCAGTCCGCCATAGTCCGCCAGACCTTGAGGCCTGGCAGGGTGTTCAACCCACCGCACTGTCCCATTTGCATACAGGCAGGGTGCGGGCAGCCGGGTGGGGGGCAGGTTTTTTGCTGAAAGCCTGTGAGCCGCTCTAAAAACATCCCTTTACATTTTCAGTAAAGGCCTTGTCATAACCTGTTTGGCGTAAGCAAAACCCTCACTTGCATAAGGCCGCGTAAGAACTTTGCGTAGGGGTTTCCTCAATTTGTTTCGCGTAAGGAAAAACTCTACGAACGTAAGCATGGCGTAAAGTTTGGCGTACCCAAAATGATACGACATAGGGAGTGACTGAAGGTTTTCAGAATGGCTCATGTGGTTTGTGTCATTTTGTTGTTGCGATCCAAGGAACTGGTGGTGGGAGAAGACCTGTGCCGAACTCCGTGTGGACATGATTTTCATCGGGATTGTTTGGAGGAGCTTTGAGAAATACAATTCAGGTTTTAGTATGTTTTTAGTTCGTCTAGTTTTTCTTCTTCTGTCATTGCTGGGTCAGGATTGGGTCCTGTCGCGAAGATACACTTCTGCGGGATGTCCTTTGTGTCCTCGTCTCAGCTGAACCATAGACAGCAAACAAAGTTAGGAGCCGACATCTGGACATCTGTAGATAGCCTTCAAGAGTTTTAAGGGGTGGACATGGGTGGACAATTCATGACAATGCTATCTACCAGCAACAAGATCGGCACATGGCAGCAACATTTCCATCCCAGGCCGCGAGTCCCTTCTGATGTCCGAGAGCTCTGATCCATCGTGGCGACCCCAGGAGGTTAGATGGTGAGAAGGTTGGACCAGAGGTTTCGATCGTATTTCCCAAGTACCCAAAACATGCAGGATATCACCTCAACATACCTCAACATCCTCAACATCATGAGGATATCACCTTTCGAAACATGTCCAGCATTACCCTTGGTTTGCGTTTTACAGGCGAGGAATCGTGCCCCCAAAATTGCATATAGATGGGAAGCAGCTGGGTTACCCTTGCAGCCCATCAGAGCCTCTGTTGCCCAGGCGTCTCCTTTTGGCAGACTGTGTCATGTGAGCAGTGCGGGATCCTTGGGTCCAGGTGTTGCGCCAGAAACTCAGAGGTTGCCCACGAAGCTAACGAATGGAATCTACAGCGGGGATAGCCTTCAGAATGGTTCTGCCAGCGAGGCTCAGACGTCAGCCACACAAAGAGGTGGAAGTTTCGATTGGTAGGCTGGGACGGATGGAGTAACCTGGGTCACTGATTTTGACTTTCTCAACCTGTGTCTCCCACCAAAGATCATTGGCAGGTGGGCCCTTGGAGTGCCAGCGAAGCGCTGGAAGTGCTGAATAGGGGTCTGGTCAGCACGCAACAAACACAATGCCAGCGAGGCTTTGAAAATCCATGTGCCAGCTGTTTTTGTGTGGAAATCAGGGTACCAGCATTTCAATCAATCAACGAAATGAGTGCATTGTTGTGTGCAGCCCCTGTTGAGAGCGATTTGGCACAGTTTCCGGCCCTCTGAGCCTCTGAGCTGTTGCCCGTTTGAAAAGACTGGCAGGGGCAACGAAGCCCGTCCCCATGCCAGTCCGGGCCCTGCGACACAAAGTCGTATCGCAACAGAAAAGGCCAGCTACACTGCATTGGAGACCTTTGGGTAGAACTGAGGCAAATGGACATGGCTTTGGGTTTGTCTCAAGTGCCAGGTTTCTAAGAACATCTGGCTGGTATTCACAGTTGCAACTCTCTTGCATCGCCATCGCTTCGTAATACCTATCACAGCTTTGCTTCATCATCGAAGTTGTTGTACCTGGCAAAATTCAAAATTAAAGGTCAGCAAGATTCGACAATTCTAGTCAGCAAGGCAACTCCTCCAGAGCGGATTGCATTTGCTGTTTATATCATATCTGTTTATGTTGTTTTCCTGGGGTATATATCTGTTTATGTTGTTTTCCTGGGGTACCCCACAAGTGTTGATCTTCGTATTTAAGTAGCAGACCGTAGCTAGGTGCACAGTCTAGCATTTCATCTCCCTCGATGTATTGAAGACGAAGCATGCCAATGTCAGGAAGGGAAATCGTGTGAACAGTGGCTGCGGATAGCCATAGCTTGTGGCTACGTGTGGCCTGCCATGCCTTTGAATCATGGACACCTTGGACGAGCCGTACGAGCCTTGCAAGAAGTTTGTGAACGTGAACCGAAGGGGCGGCTTCGGCTTACGAGGGCTTCTGTGTGCCGTCACTCGACAGAGAGGATCATGTTGGGGAGCCAAGAATTCAATGAGCCCAATCTCTGCTGACTCTGCTGCTTGATGCTTGCTTTCCTGCTTGCGGCCCATCAATCCACTATTGGATGATAGAATAACTTTTCATGCTGAGGAAAGGAATGATGCAACCCTTCAAACCATCACGCTAGGATTCTGTCCTTCGAAGAATTTTCAACTTCCAAGTTGCAATGGACTAGGACACTTGGGATATTTTCAAAACTATAGAAATTAGTCCATACTTTCTGGCAGTGGGCAATCCATGTCTCCCTTTGTTGTTGCTGACCGTGCCCAAAGGAAACCTTAGTTTCGTGACTTTCAGGCATTGTTTTGGCCATTTTGTGGATATGTAAGGCCCAATGTGGAGAGAACAGTGACAGCGTGGGCAGATGTTGCCCAGGCAAGAGTCGAGAACGATGCAATGGACAAGAAACAAGTCGCCCGGGCTCAAAAGGTCTTGGATAGTGACTCTGGAGGTCCGGGAACATCTGCCAAGATATCAAAGTCAGAGTTGCGCCTGCCGAGACTAAGATAAATGGCAGCAGAGGGACTTGAATATCATGTGTCTCCTTTACTCCTCATTCAACCATGAGACTGAGCATGCTTGACAGTGACAGGCAAAGGGCGGAAGGCAAGTTTGATTTACGACGTCTACAAGAAAGACAGCTCAGGACCCTGATATCCGATCTCCAAAGTACTCCCATGCACTGCTTGAGTTTGCAGAAGTTGAAAGACTTTGAAAGACACCAGCTATGGCTTTCAATCTCATACCAGTTTTTTTGTTTTTAAAGAGTTTTATTGATTGTGAATTCGTGCAGGAAAGAGACCACCAAGGAGCAGCGCAGACAAGAAGGCCACATGGGTGTGTTGATGCCTCTATTTTTTCTTTCTCTCTCTCTCTCTCTCTCCCCTTCTGCTTATTTGCATTACGTATGTTGTACACAGATTCAAAGCATAGGCTATGGGATATCTTGTAAGTCTTTGCAACCATACTCGAAAGATGTCTGGAGTCTTGCGGTGACACTTCCTTTTTTTCTGTGTGGCTTGACATGCGAGCTTGCATCAAGCCATCATCGTTTGCCGCTATCCCAATCTACTATTGTAGATCTGACGTGCATGATGGTGAGTGGAATCCGCTTAGAATGATCAGAAGTCACTTGTGTATACTTACGTTTCCTTCAGAATTCACATATGATCCATTTCTGATCCATTTCTGATCCATTTACTATATACAACAGATATCAACAGATATCAACGGCTACACCCGGGATCCGAGGTCTCCCTTCGAGAGCCCGACCCGGAGCTCGACACGCTCTGGGCGCCCGAGCGTTGCGTGTGCCGCTGCGGCTGTCGCGCGGAGCTGGGGAACGGAGAAGGCAGTCGTTGCAAGGAGTGCGCCAAGGGATGTGGCTCAAACCTGGCAAAACCATGGAAAAACTATGGAAAACCCCATGAAAAACCCATGCAAACTTGAGAATCTTCAACAGTTTGGAACCTGGTATATACCATCATTTGATGGTTTGTTCATGTTTGTTCGGTTTACAGTAAAGTTTACAGGCCCGAAAATTGGTTGATTTTTGGGTCGGAGTTGTTGGTGACTGGCAAAAAGCTCGTTGTTAGCACGGTTTGTTGTGCTGCAGCACTCTTTTGCTGGACTTCTGCTTGCTCCGCAGGATTGCCGACAGAAAGGCCCGAGGCCTGCGGACAGATCTGCGAAGGGAGAGGGCCGAGTTCCAGATGGAGCTTCTGTGCTGATGGTCTATGAATGTCTATGAAATATGATCCTGACATATCCTGACCATTGACCATTGCCACAGGCATCAACGTTTGATGGAGGAAAACGAAGGACATCCAGATCTAAGGCAGTGACTGGTGTCAGCTTTGTGTCCATATTGGCTGGCCATGGCTGGCACTTCATGTCACGACTTCCTTTGGTGTGCCACTAGGACCACTAGGACTAGGAATGCTTGCTTTGTGGATGTGCAAGATGGTTGTCCAGGGCGCGAGCCTGTTTCCCCAGGCCAAGCAGAAGTCCGAGTTGGCAAAGAGAGCGATGTAAGAAACGAAGACGCAAGAAGCGTCGGAAGGCTGGAAGGTTACCATTTTTTCTGGTTGTGTCATGCAAAAAGGTTGATGATCCCTGAAAAAAAATCACTTTTGCATCGGAATCCTGGTCTGCTGCACTTCCTCTTATTTCTATATAAAACTCAATTCTCTGACACTGTGGGCGGTGCTCGAAGGTGTCAGACAGCACGAGTTCTTCAGATAGCACGAGCTCATCCTCAAGCAATTGATGAACAACTTGGCCAAATGAATTCCCCCGAATGTCATCGAATGTCGACTTCATCGGCCCCAAGGAAAATTTGAGGATGGCATTGACGTAGTTTGCCCGCTGAAGCCAGCGGATTCCGCCCAAAAAATTAATTTATATTATAATTCATTATATAAAAAACAAAAATTATTTTTATTTTATTTTTCTAATCTTAATATTATTTTTATCCTAATTTTATTTTCTTTAAAATATTAATATATTATATATATAAAAAATCAAAATTTAGATTAATATATATTAATATTTATTTAAATTTTATATTTTTTGAAATAATATATATATATCTAATTGGTATGTACTTCTAAGTTCGATGGTGAAATGCATGTTCCTTGCCGCTCAAGACAAATGCATGTAGAATTAGCTGATAGGATTTGGAAGTGGCTGGCCTTCGCTAACGAGTTCTCCCGATTTGCTTCTTGCCCTTTTCACTGTCATCCCTCCTGCATTGCCTGGCTGGTCTTTGGACTTTGCATCGGAATTTCCATTGGTTTGATTGTTTCTGGACTTTTGCTTGCCTTTTGGATTTTCCGCGTTCCCCTTGGCCATTTCTTGTTCCCAGCTCCTGCTGCTCCAAGAACCAGGTTGGCACGTTATCTTGAATGAGCTTTCCTTTTACCTCCAGTGAGCTTCGTGATCTCATTGAGAGGCTTGAAAGATTGGAAGATTGGCAGAAGAAGGAGGAATCTTCCAGCTCGTCTCAAGGGGCTGGAAAAGGTTATCGTAGAGGTGATCCAAAGGCCCGTGCTGTAGCTGCGGGTACTTCCATTTCTAAAACTTCCTTCCCGGGCATTCCTCAGATCGCCCGTCTGTGGACTTTGGAAAAGGAAGCAGGACCAGAATTTGTTGGCTCAGAATTCCGAACTCTTGATCAGGGTCCTGGACCTGTTCCGGCAATTGTGGAAGAGCAGGCGGTTTTTGTTGCCTGGGATCAGACTGAAGCCTTGAATCGTGTCCACCTTGCATTTTCAGCAGGTTTTTGGGCCAGACTTGCATTGGAAACTTTCACAGACCAGATTGCCCCTGCGGTGATTTCAGAGAAAAGTTCTCACTTCATTGTTCTCCGTGCTTGCGGGCTCGGCGGTGTTGTTCGATTTGATTCCGAGGCTGATTTCAATCATTTCCGTCAGCAAATTTTTGCTGGAGGGTGTGTATTTCACGGCTTTGAAACTGAGACAGAACTGGAAGTCTTTTGCCAAGGAGCACATATCGCAGTTCCCCCTCTCTTCCGCCGTACAAAATGCTGAGGAAGGAGAATGTTAGGCCTGTAAGTAAAGGTGAACCTACCTTGCTTGTGCTTACTGTACCTGCTGTTGCCTCTTTAGTAGGGGATGAAGTAGACGTGTATGCACTGCCTCTGGAATTCAGATAGGGAGGTTTACTTTTAGCCCTCCCACATGACAGCCTTTCCACACAGACCCTTTCAGATGGTCAGACAGGATCTGATGAGCATCCGTTTGGTCCGAATTCAATTTTTTCTGCAGGGCTTCTAGAAGAAGCTGATGATGTTCCGACGCCAGTTGCCGTACCTCTCGGAATTGAGGCTCAGGTGCTTGTAGTTGATGTATATGATGACATTTTGTCGAAATGTAGAGAGTATGATCCAGTCATAGACTCCCTTGCAACGATCCTTGGTTTTTCAAATGAACATCCCTTAAGTTTGTCTGATGTATCGGTGCTCTTGGCCCATGTCAGTAAGTGGCTCCTCTTGAGATCTGATAACAGGACGGGCTTTTACTCCGCCCAAGAAGATCAGGAAACAAGCCCTCCAAAAGCTGTTACAGCCCCCAAGAAAGCCACGGCCAAGAAAATATCGAATGCAATGATAGCCGATCAATTGACGGCAGTGGTTGCCCAATTCCAGCTGATCACTCAACGTCAGGATCGCATGGAACAAATGGCAAGCTCTTCCGCCGCAGATATGCCAGGACAGTATGTTGGGCCGGTTTCCAAATTGCCGACTGTGTCAGCGGGCTTGCCAGATCCCAGTGGCGTATCGCAGACTATTGGAGCAAAAGCACTGAGCCTAATAGGACCTCCTCCCAAGACGCGAAATGTGGTCGGGATCCAAGGTGCAGCAGCTGTGGAAGGAGACGAGCTATATGATGCATTGCAGCCCCAAGAAGGTGCAGATGGAATGCTTGTTGCGCTGACCAATCAGAGCACAGCGCTGACGGCCTTGGTGGCTCACCTGACGGCACAGTCAGGAGGTCTCTTAGGAGATCTTGCCACACCAGGGCAGGTTGGGAGTTCAACCAAAGGCGTTCAACGCAGGGAGAAAATGCAGAACGATCTAGCATGTGGAAATAACCAATATTTCTTGCAGATGATGCAGCAGTTGCACCGCAGACTTCATCCCTCCAAGCCTGTCCCCCAGACAGAAGAAAACCTGAAATCCTTGTCAGTGTTGCAATACCTTGAAAGACAAGGAGGTTACAGGATCAATCGGGAAGTAGGCCTAGTTGCCTGGGTATTAGGTCATGCAATAGATGCTGCATCAGCAGGAGACTTTCATATGACGAAGGAACTGCTCGCTTTGCTGATGGTTTCAGTCGAGCAGGCTGTAACCGACAGAGGAGACTGGACACTGGCCTTCATGCTTACCCTGATGGAAGAACCGCCGATCCAAGTTTTCCAAGATCGGGCTGCCAGTATAGCTCACCATGCAAGGCCTTTCGGCCCTCTAGTCCCACCGCCGTGGACAGCAGTTTGCCTGGCTTATTTGAAAGATCTGGAAGTCCTTTCCACGAAGAAGGGAGAGACAGCAAAACGCATTGCAAAGGCGCCCTCTCAAACCGAAGGCAGCCCAAGCGCAGCAGCTGTCGAACCAGATCGTGAAGCATCCCCAAAAAGGAAGCCGAGGTTTCCTCGCAAGCCAAAAGCAAAGGCCGCTCCAGAGGCCTAAAATACGAGAAGCCTACGCAGAAGTTCATAGGGTGCAAAGTTGCCTCTGAACAAATAGTTCAACTAATAAATAGAGTTAACCACCAAACTTTTGACTCTGTTTGCATGAAATATAGGTTATGCCCTTGCCAATGCCTATCCGAGGATGACCTCTTTTGAAGTGCACGCCCTGAAGCGTACAGGAATTCATAGAAGCCCTGTGGACACCCTGTCCTTTAAAAATTGGTGTTCATTTTTGGCTTTTTCAGTATCAAGGACTCATTCCTTTCTTCCAGCGTCCATCATGCCACTTGCATCTGCAACGAAGCACTGTGACTTCGTCATCGCCGGCTTCCCCTTGCCTGTCCCCTTTGTGGAGTGTTCGCAAGGATGCCTCCAGGTCTTTCATCTTCCAAAAGGGATCGTTGCTATCTCTGACGGGCTTTGCACGTTGTGGTGATGGTCCCTGACTATTGGTGGAGTGAAAGCTGCTCTTTCCCTTTAGAGCATCTGGAGAGGGCAACATCAGCAAGCCATTTGCGAAATCTTCGCAGGCTTACTGGCCTCATGCTGGCTGACGGCCCGACTGAGCCTTTTAGGTTTTGCGCAGTGGTCGACGTTTTCACCAACTGATAGCCCGACTTTTCGAGCTGTCTGGAACTTTGACAAATTAGATGCTGGAGCAGTTCCCTATAGGAAGACTTACCCAGGTCATGATGCGCCACTTGACAACAGCTTGTTTGATGACACCAAGCCTTACAGTACGCTTGATGCTAGCCGTTTGAAGGTGGGTGGTCGTGGCCTTTTTGGCGCTATTAGTTTCCTTTGCACTGAACTTTGCATGACTTGTAGGTGTACTGACTCCTTACAGCTTGACCGAACTCCTGGTGCCTCCGAATATCCTTGAGAATGAATCCGCGAGATGAAGTCGTTTCGCTGGCGAAGCTATGGGATGCATGAAGGTTACTACATATACATGAAACTGACTTTCAGAGGGAAAAGCGCTTTGAGCTTGTCCAGGTTTTCAACTAATTTAAGAACCTAGAGTGCGACAGACAGATTGGCGATAGAAGAGGCCGTAGTTCAGTAGAGGGTAGGGTGTCCGGACCTTCCAAAAGCCTGCCTTCAGGCCCAGATCTTCTTGGCCTGTTCGGAAATGCGCGTGAAGAGATACTCTACATATCCTGTACAGATTGACACGACCTCTACCATCAGTTTTGGTGCACTGCGAATAGGATTTGATGAACACGGTTGGACCTAGGATTCCTTTTGGCTTCATGAGAAACACCTAAGCTATGACCTCTTTTGAATGTGCCAAGCTAGCTGCTAAAGAGAGCCGTTTGTTGGTGGGGACCGCCCTGGTCTCTCCTGCAGACAGTCATTCTCCGCTTGCCCCAAATGTTCTGTTTGGTGAGCTTGGTAGTCTAAATCAGGGAGACCATGCTGGTATTGAAATTGCAACCAGAGCACATGAGCAGCTTTTGCAGACAGTAGGTTTTGGATGAAACCTCCAGAGTTTTGTCTTCCCGTCATCTCCATGGTGTCGAGTTTGCGAAGGACTAGCGCTTGATGCCTATTTTGTGGTGCAAAGTTCCTCGAAGTATGTTGGTTGCAGACCCTCTCCTTCCATGCCTTAGCATTTCTAAAAAAAGGGGAGTGTACGCAAAGTATGAGATATTTGGCTTAGATGACAAGACATTGTTGGATCCAGAAAAGCCAAGATTATAGGTGCCAGCGTCAATGCCTCAGAAAATGTCAGAAAATAGGACATGTGTCGGTTGCAGCTCCGTGGAAAAGAGATATGCTATTTCCTGGATTTCCTTTCAGGTAAGCCAGTGGATTCATACGACAGACGCTTTACAACTTTGTTATTGGTGTTTGGACGTTTGCGCTGATGTTAGGCGACCTTTTTTGTCAGTCCTGCAGTCTTCCTTCCATCTTGTGTTATGGCCTTTTTAATGCCTCGAGTCCAAAATTAGTGAGCTATCCACGAAATGTTGCAACAGAGCTGAGCCTATTAGGCGGCTTGGCGCCTTTATGCGTTGCCGATGTTGCGGTTTACTTCTGCACAGAGCTGTTTGCGACGGATGCATCACGGAATAAAGGGGCAACTGTCAAGAGCCGTATCGACAAGAACTTGGCCACCTGCTTGTGGCGCTGCTGCAGATCCAAGGGTGGCTACTCTAAGTTGCTGTCACCTTTCCAATC